AGCATTATCATTGCTTTTACGTGGTTATTGGGTCAGACATCTTTTATTCAATCTGTATCAGAATTGATTCATTTTCTCCCACTGCAACAGATTGAATCAAACAATGAGGTTCTCTCAATTTATTCATTGGATGCTGAGTTTTCAAGACCGTTATGGGTTTTTGGTACGAATTCTTATGAAATTATTGAAAGTAATGGAGAAAAGAACTTAATTGCTTGCAGCTACAGGTAACCTTCTGGAGCTATGGCTCTTAGGTTCTTATTATTTATTATTATTATTATTATTTTTTTGTAAACATGTGCCGACGCTTATGCATGCACAGAGACATATATCACTTTTAAGTTGTGGTGAACCTATACATCTATTTTAATGCCATCAAAATTTGTATGTTTTGATTCAGGCAGCACGGAAGGTCATATCTTGGAGTTCTGGATGATGCTGAGGGCTCATTATCTCTGCTTGATATTCCTTTCACTGATATAGACAACATTGTATCTTCAAAGACCTTAGTTTCCATTATTGTGGCATTAGAAAATTTTCCAGTACAAACCATAATGATGATTTAATAAAATGTTGCATCATTACTTATGCAGACTCCAGGGAATCATTGCCTGTACATTGAGGGAGCATCTGCTGTTCAGCCATCATCAGTGGCTAAGGTTCAGTTGTTTCTTTTTTCTTCATGTTTTCTGAATAACATCTTTTACTACAATAGTTGCTAATAATAATGTTAATAAAATTTTAACAAGTGATGCTAGCAACATTTTTCTGTGCTTTTATTGTTGGTCTTTGCAGGTGACTTTAGATGGCCATAAATTGAAAGCTATTGATTTCAATATTGTCTGGTCTTCATCACCTGATAGCTTGAAGTACAAGTCCCACTTCAGCTTGCCAGAGTCAATTGAATTCCCGACAGAAATTCCTGGTCAAAAGGCATATGCATACTATTATCCGCCATCTAATCCCAGCTACCAAGCTGCTCAAGAAGAAAAGCCTCCATTGCTATTGAAGAGTCATGGTTTGTTCTTCAAAAACCTAAAACCTTTCAATCAATAAATATTTTTCTTCTTTTTTCTTAAAAAAGAAAAGAAAAAAGGGTAATAGTATATTATGATTATTTTTCTTGTGTTACTGCTTTTTATGCATGTATCTGTCAAAAGTTGCTTTCTTTTGAAGCTAGTACAAAAAAAGGAAGCATATATTGGGAGTGTTGTAAATTTGCTGCATTAAGTGAAATAGCAATCAAAGCCCTGGGTATAGGAAATTACTTTGCCATGTGGATTGCAAGAAATATTTGAAGAGTATGAACTTTGAAATTTTATTCACCTGTGAATTATTGAGAAAATTGAAATACCTAGTTTCCTGCTTTCAGTGGACTGGAACAATTATTGAACTTTCAGAGTCAGGGGTTGTATTTTGCTTGGGGAGTCCCTCCTCCTCCTCCCCCCCCTCCCCCTTTTTCTTGGCTGGCACAATTTGCATTATTTTTCAATGAATTAAGAAATTCCGTTTATATCTTGAATTTGTAATGAATTATATGGTGTGTAAATTATGGCAGGGGGCCCAACAGGTGAAACACGTGGGATGTTAAATTTGAGTATCCAATATTGGACTAGTAGAGGTTGGGCATTTGTGGATGTAAATTATGGTGGAAGCACTGGTTTGTCCTCTGCACCCTCATCTGTTATATATTATCTTTTTCTCTCCTTTGAAATCATATCATGGGTACTCATACTTGAGTAATTGATTTTGAAAATGCATGTTCTACATATGAATTTTAGTCTCCAAGTCAAGTATGTGCAAGATCCTTTGGAGTTGTTCAGGGTGTTCTTTTCTGCACATATTTGATATTTTGAACAAGCTCATTGACAGACATGAATGAACTTAATTTTGAAGGTTATGGTCGAGAATTTCGGGAAAGGCTTTTGGGGCGCTGGGGAATTGTTGATGTTGATGACTGTTGCAGTTGTGCTAGATTTTTGGTAATCACATTCATTCTTTCATTTCTTTCCAAGTTTTTAAGAGGATGGACTTGCTACGACCTTTTAAATCATGGTATTGTTCATTTCTTCATCTAGGTGGACAGTGGAAAGGCAGATGAGCAACGACTTTGTATAACTGGTGGTTCTGCTGGTGGCTATACAACCTTAGCTGCTCTAGCTTTTAGAGACACATTTAAGGCTGGAGCTTCTTTGTATGGTGTGAGTACCGGCATTCATACTTTTGGAAGCATTATGTGAATTTATTGTGTGTAAGGGTGTCCATGTTATGTTTCTTCCCTTGATGTCTTCTGCTTCTATTCTCATTTCTCTGAGTAAATTTTCAGCTAAAATCTGTTGTACTATTGACCCCAGTGATTGGACTTGATTTTTTTTCTGGTTTAGGGTTTGGGTTCTTTTATTACTGCTTTGGTGGACCTGTCAAACCAGCAGCATTTTTTGAATTTTCATATATTGTCCATATCTGAATAGTACTATTGTTATCATTTTATATAGGTGTATTGAGGGGTTAAGTATAATTTATGTTCTGTTAGGAAATTTTAGTTGAACGGTAGCTTGGGCGTCACTCATGTCCTCTTGTCTGTTCATCTTCTGAGTAGCTGAAGTCTGATGTTCAGATGAATGGTGGCACATATCAATAAGGCTAAAAATTCTTGAAGTGGCATTTCAGAATCTGATTGGGATTCCTGCGTTGTTTTTTGGTGATATGTGCAAATTCTTTGATTTTTTATAATTACCTTTTACCCTTAAGGTTTATATACCTATAACATTGTTCACATAATTTATAGTTTCATGAAGGGCAATGTTCTCCACTAAATAGAAAATTAACATGTTTTTATGTATATTGCAAATATGACAGGTTGCTGACTTAGGCATGTTGAAAGCAGAAACTCACAAATTTGAATCTCATTATATGGACAATCTTGTTGGTAAATTGAAATAGAAAAAAAACTTAATTTATCACTTTTTTATTCTGTTTGCTCCATTTGTTGGTAACTTAACTATCTGGTTGCAGGGAGTGAGAAGGATTTCTTCGAAAGGTCACCAATCAATTTTGTTGATAAATTTTCTTGCCCCATAATTTTGTTCCAGGGATTGGAAGACAAGGTAAAGTTTAATCAGTTTCTTTACACTCCCTGGGCGCCCCGCCACCCCCCTCCCCCCCAAAAAAAAAACCTTGCTCTCATTTTCCTTTGGATCATTATGAATAGCTGATGTAATCAAATTTTATAGTCTTTTATCTTAGAAAGTTAGCATTTCTTTGTCTTATTATTGATAGACAGCTTGTTATTGGCTGAGTTGAATCTAATTCAGAACTAGCATTATTGCCTTTTCGACTTCATGCCCTCACATTATGATAGAAAGGGAACTCCCTGAATAGCACTGTAACCTTTAGACCATATTTTTTCATGGGTCGAGCTGTAATTGTATACGAAGTATGTGGACCATGGTTTTTTGATTCAGCAATTCTATGCAATTAACTTGTTAAATTCTTATCCAGACAAGGTATCCATCTTGGTGTAAGCTTAATTTGGTTGACAAAGAAAATTTTGCTACTTTCCAAATTCAATTTGAATTTGAGAAAGTGATTCCTTCTTGTCAGTTATTATCCTACACGGTGGAGTTATCTTTTGGAACAAATTGGTTTTCTATAGAAGTCAATCTTAGATCTCTTGCTGGTAACTCTAGAAGCTTTTACGGTTGAAAATCAAATCATGTAATTAGGACCAGGGAAATTCAGAAAAGTCATTTACTTGCTTGGAGGCTCTGAGTTAAATTGTATAATGTTTGAAGTTTCTTACTTTTAAGTAATAACCATCATATGTTTTGATATGTTTTATATATATATGCAGTTATACTTTCTGTAATTTATTAATACATGTAATCTGGTACTTATTTTTGTATCTTTAGATATATGAGGATTTGGCATTCTGCTTTTCATTCTCAAAGTCTGAGTTTGAAATTTCTTTCATCATGTTGTAGGTTGTACCCCCTGATCAAGCTCGTACAATCTACCGGGCACTGAAGGAAAAGGGTTTGCCTGTTGCTCTTGTGGAGTATGAAGGAGAACAGCATGGTTTCCGCAAGGTATATGCTATTTTTCAGAATTTCCAATTACAAGCTTTGCTTGTCTAGGAAACATTACAGCTGACCTAATATATTACACAGGCTGAGAACATTAAGTTCACATTGGAACAACAAATGGTGTTTTTTGCACGATTGGTTGGACACTTCAATGTTGCAGATGAAATTACTCCAATCAAAATCGATAACTTTGACAGCTAGTATAATGGTATCCGGTTCTGAAAAATGGGGTAACTGCTTGTAACAAAGTTGAGTCGAGGCAATGCATCATATAATGAGTTAAAAGAGCCTCTTACATCATGTAATGAATAAATAAATCATTCACTTTGTTTTACTTTGGCATCATGTAATGAATTTATCTTAGAGAAATTATCATGTATGGGACTAATGGCTAACTGCAATGCATGCTTGTGAAGTTGCCGTAGTATTCTTTTTCCTTCCCACTCATAACTCTTTGATGTTACTCCGGACGGCGGCCTAGCTAGTATCTTCCCTTATTGTTTAAGCCTTTCGTATTTTTGGGGTGAAGCCTATCCAGTTTGGAGTTCGTGGAGTGGCATTCAAACATCCAACATTGATATTTGACAATGTCAATGATGATGAAATCCCTCCCACTTCTAGAAGTTGACATTCAAGTCGTTTTAATTTCTTAATTCCTTATTGCAAAGTAATGGCAGAGCATTAAATTTTTAATAGTAAATAAAGACTATTCATACAGTAGAATCTTCCGTAAGCGTCTAAGGAAGTAATTGATTTTGAAAATGCATGTTCTACATATGAATTTTAGTCTCCAAGTCAAGTATGTGCAAGATCCTTTGGAGTTGTTCAGGGTGTTCTTTTCTGCACATATTTGATATTTTGAACAAGTTCATTTCTATTTATATATGATTACGTCATATCTTAAAGTTGACAGACATGAATGAACTTAATTTTGAAGGTTATGGTCGAGAATTTCGGGAAAGGCTTTTGGGGCGCTGGGGAATTGTTGATGTTGATGACTGTTGCAGTTGTGCTAGATTTTTGGTAATCACATTCATTCTTTCATTTCTTTCCAAGTTTTTAAGAGGATGGACTTGCTATGACCTTTTAAATCATGGTATTGTTCATTTCTTCATCTAGGTGGACAGCGGTAAGGCAGATGAGCAACGACTTTGTATAACTGGTGGTTCTGCTGGTGGCTATACAACCTTAGCTGCTCTAGCTTTTAGAGACACATTTAAGGCTGGAGCTTCCTTGTATGGTGTGAGTACTGGCATTCATACTTTTGGAAGCATTATGTGAATTTATTGTGTGTAAGGGTGTCCATGTTATGTTTCTTCCCTTGATGTCTTCTGCTTCTATTCTCATTTCTCTGAGTAAATTTTCAGTTAAAATCTGTTGTACTATTGACCCCAGTGATTGGACTTGATTTTTTTTTTTTTTTTCTGGTTTAGGGTTTAGGGTTTGGGTTCTTTTATTACTGCTTTGGTGGACCTGTCAAACCAGCAGCATTTTTTGAATTTTCATATATTGTTCATATCTGAATAGTACTATTGTTATCATTTTATATAGGTGTATTGAGGGGTTAAGTATAATTTATGTTCTGTTAGGAAATTTTAGTTGAACGGTAGCTTGGGCATCACTCATGTCCTCTTGTCTGTTCATCTTCTGAGTAGCTGAAGTCTGATGTTCAGATGAATGGTGGCACATATCAATAAGGCTAAAAATTCTTGAGGTGGCATTTCAGAATCTGATTGGGATTCCTGGGTTGTTTTTTTGGTGATATGTGCAAATTCTTTTATTTTTGATGATCACCTTTTACCCTTAAGGTTTATATACCTCTAATATTGTTCACATAATTTATAGTTTCATGAAGGGCAATGTTCTCCACTAAATAGAAAATTAACATGTTTTTATGTATATTGCAAATATGACAGGTTGCTGACTTAGGCATGTTGAAAGCAGAAACTCACAAATTTGAATCTCATTATATGGACAATCTTGTTGGTAAATTGAAATAGAAAAAAAAAACTTAATTTATCACTTTTTTGTTCTGTTTGCTCCATTTGTTGGTAACTTAACTATCTGGTTGCAGGGAGTGAGAAGGATTTCTTCGAAAGGTCACCAATCAATTTTGTTGATAAATTTTCTTGCCCCATAATTTTGTTCCAGGGATTGGAAGACAAGGTAAAGTTTAATCAGTTTCTTTGCACTCCCTGGGCACCCCCCCCCCCCCCCCCCCCCCCAAAAAAAAAAAAAAAAAAAAACTTCTCTCATTTCCTTTGGATCATTATGAATAGCTGATGTAATCAAATTTCATAGTCTTTTATCTTAGAAAGTTAGCATTTCTTGTCTATTTTGATAGACGGTTTTTATTGGCTGACTTGAATCTAATTCAGAACTAGCAATTGGCTTTTGGACTTCATGCCCTCACATTATGGTAGAAAGGGAATGCCCTGAATAGCACCGTAACCTTTAGACCATATTTTTTCATAGGTCAAGCTGTAATTGTATACAAAGTATGTGGACCATGGTTTTTTTATTCAGCAATTCTATGCATTAACTTATTAATTTCTATCCGACAATAGTCCATCTTTTGTAAGCTTATTTGGTTGACAAGAAAATTTTGCTACTTCCAAATTCAATTTGAATTTGAGAAAGTGATTCTTCTTGTCAGTTATTATCCTACACGGTGGAGTTATCTTTTGGAACAAATTAGTTTTCTATGGAAGTCAATCTTAGATCTCTTGCTGGTAACTCTAGAAGCTTTTACGGTTGAAAATCAAATCATGTAATTAGGACCAGGGAAATTCAGAAAATCATTTACTTGCTTGGAGGCTCTGAGTTAAATGTATAATGTTTGAAATTTCTTACCTTAAGTAATAACCATCATATGTTTTGATATATATTAATATCTATGCATTATATTTTTCTTTCTGTAATTTATTAATACATGTAATCTGGTACTTATTTTTGTATCTTTAGATATATGAGGATTTGGCATTCTGCTTTTCATTCTCAAAGTCTGAGTTTGAAATTTCTTTCATCATGTTGTAGGTTGTACCCCCTGATCAAGCTCGTACAATCTACCGGGCACTGAAGGAAAAGGGTTTGCCTGTTGCTCTTGTGGAGTATGAAGGAGAACAGCATGGTTTCCGCAAGGTATATGCTATTTTTCAGAATTTCCAATTACAAGCTTTGCTTGTCTAGGAAACATTACAGCTGACCTAATATATTACACAGGCTGAGAACATTAAATTCACATTGGAACAACAAATGGTGTTTTTCGCACGATTGGTTGGACACTTCAATGTTGCAGATGAAATTACTCCAATCAAAATCGATAACTTTGACAGCTAGTATAATGGTATGCGGTTCTGAAAAATGGGGTAACTGCTTGTAACAAAGTTGAGTCGAGGCAATGCATCATATAATGAGTTAAAAGAGCCTCTTACATCATGTAATGAATAAATAAATCATTCACTTTGTTTTACTTTGGCATCATGTAATGAATTTATCTTAGAGAAATTATCATGTATGGGACTAATGGCTAACTGCAATGCATGCTTGTGAAGTTGCCGTAGTATTCTTTTTCCTTCCCACTCATAACTCTTTGATGTTACTCCGGACCGCGGCCTAGCTAGTATCTTCCCTTATTGTTTAAGCCTTTCGTATTTTTGGGGTGAAGCCTATCCAGTTTGGAGTTCGTGGAGTGGCATTCAAACATCCAACATTGGTATTTGACAATGTCAATGATGATGAAATCCCTCCCACTTCTAGAAGTTGACATTCAAGTCGTTTTAATTTCTTAATTCCTTATTGCAAAGTAATGGCAGAGCATTAAATTTTTAATAGTAAATAAAGACTATTCATACAGTAGAATCTTCCGTAAGCGTCTAAGGAGGGAAGAAGCGGTCAATAATTTTAAAAAAAGTCAGTGGCAGATGTTATGGCGTAAACTCTATGATTTGGTGATCACTTACCAAACTCCGGATGTTATGATTTATTTAGTTGATGATGATATGTTATGGATTGCGCTATCTTTGATTTGGCTTATTATATTCATCTTTTATTTAGCAAATTGATATTTTTGAGATGGAGGGTAGGTGATGCCTGCTTTTCTTCTTCCCTCCAAAAGGGAACTCAGGACATACACGTGCGCATAATTTAGAATTAATCAAGAAACTAACCTACGAATTGAAATGTTTACATATATAATCGGAGATTTCTTTTCCTTTTGGTAGGAATTTTATTTTCTTAATATCACCATTCACATATTCTTTTAGTGTTCAAAACTTACATATATGCATAGAAAATTCAATCAAAAATTGAAAGCAAATTTCCATGGCTCGTAACACTTATACATTTTGTTCCGTTATGTAAACTCTACACTTAACAATAGGAACAAAGCAAAGAACTACAATTTAATTACAGCAACATATAATATAATATTAATTAGGTCTCTAAGTTTCATGATCGAAATCCATTTGCAAGAGGATTAATGGCCAGTCTCCCCAATATTCCATGTTTGTATGGCAAGAAAGTTCTCTTCTTCAAATCCTCTGATGCAGCTTTATTTTTTGTATAATGCAACTCATGTGCCGAAACCTGTCCTCTCCTTCTTGACCCAGACACTGACTCGGCAGAGCTGTCAGTTGACCGGAAACTAGAGTTCTTCATATCTTCATTTTTCTTGAACAAAGCTCTATACTTGGGTTCTTTATCTGTTGACCGTCCCTCAGACGCGCTTCGAAACAGAAGAAAATCCCTCAATCTCCATTTTCTTGAAGAACTCTTCGAAGAAGATGATGATGACTTTGAATTAAATGATGACTGTTTCGTAGCTTGTTGCTGTTGCTGTTGCTTTTCTTCTTCTTCCCATGGATACGCAGATACTCTAAATGGAGAGAGTGATCTTGTTGCTCTACGGCTCGAACTTTTCGATAAATCTGGAACTCTACTCTCTCTTCCTCTATCATTTTGAGTTTGATTCCGAGTATTTTCAACTGCAGCCGCAAATGGGTCGACATCTTTTCTGCTTCTAGGTGAAAAAACTTGACGGATAATCTTTTTACCTTGAGATATGGGCGATCTCGGTGACCTTGGAGACAAAAGTGGGCTCTTCAGAGTAGAGTAGTCGTCAAGTTGTAATCTTGGTGGAGGCTTCAATGGACGGATTTTGCCACCATCAAAGAGTTCTTCAGCAGTGAGGGATTCTTTCTCCTTTTCCTCGCTGAAATTAAAAGCAAAATCATCTTCATTATCTGTAGTGGTTGTTGCCCTGGTGGGAGATTGTGATTTTGGTGTACCAGGCTTTTCTTCCCAATCGAAAGGAATCGTTGATGAATACTCATCATCATTCCTCGTATACAAGTTGTCAAATTCACTATAGAACTGAGAGATGCGCGAGGGACTTGTCGGTGCACTTGTAAAGAAGACATCATCACCAAATCGCTTTGGTGACGTTGGAGCACTCAAATATGGAGATGATCTTACACTGTTGAACTCGAAATCCATGATTGGAACCGCAGGTATCACTACCTCCATTTCTCTAATAAAGAGTATGATAGTTGAGGAGCAGAGAGACAAAGTTGAAGAGTGATTTTGGGTTGATATATAAGAGAAAGTAGTACTAACTAATAATGTTATATCAAAGGAAGGAACAAAGAAATAGAGAGGTGGAGATTGTTGACCATCTAGTCACAAATTGCAGCCGCCTTTTAATACTTTACAGATTGTGTCTCTTTTCAACTCTCATTCACGGAACATGGCTTTGTTTTATTTAATTTTCTCACATGGAATTGTTTTGGTAGTTTCTGGTTTGGTTTAGGTGAGGGGTTTAGTTTAGAGTGTTATGGTAAATTTAGTTATCTATGAATCTTCTTTGAAGCATAGAGTAGATGTGACAAATAAAAAAACATATAAATTATATAATAAATTTCAATCATCATCACTTGTGTCTTCACCCTTGACTAGAATAAGGAAATAGCTATCAGTCAACTGAATCTAGATGGTGGCTTATCTCATTTACAGTTACATTATCTAGAATCAGAATGGTGAACAAAGCTTAAAGGGGGTTTCAAGAAAGAAAAAAAAAAAGTAAACGTGTAGTAAAAAGGAGTTTGGAGATGAATGATAAGAACTGTAATGAAAAGCTTTTTCTTAAGATAAAATTAATTAGTCTGGGAAAGATAGCGTATTTTAGCTAGAAAAGTGTTTAGTTTGGTACTTGTAATTTCCAAGTTTCACCAACTTTGTGGGGTTGGTCCAAAAGTGGTCACAATTATGTGAAGAATAATTGTGATTAGTAGGTGACTGACAAATTTCAGTGTTAACGGGATAATTTAATTATTGTTACAAGTAGCAGTAAGATACATGTGCTTAAAATCATAATATGACTGATTCATAAGTTCTAGATCTTCAGACTTTTTAGCCTCCCAAATTATCTGTCAAATACATTATCTATTACTTGCATCACAACCTACGCTTCTTGTTTTATTATTCTATTCTATTCTATTGTTTCGTCTCAACTATAACAAACATATATATATATATATATATATATGTCTATTTCCATTACCTTCATTTTCACTGAGTCACCTTCAACTTACGTAATTTTGTTCATTCTCTATCTAACAATTTTATAATATATTATCTCAATCCTATAGTTTTGTTCACATTGGCTCTCTAATATATAAATATGTTGATAAATATACGAACACCGATGTGAAGAAGAAAAGATTACACGTCCACGCCAATCCACAAAAATAATAAATGTATGTGGCCACACATTACAGCCGGCCTTGTCTCAGGATCCGATAACCAGAAAGATCAACTTTTTTGTGCTATCTCAAATTTCATGACGTGGAGCCATGTTCCTAATTGGGATTTTGCAAATCGATACCTCTTGGCCTTGGGCATTGCTCTACTTTATTTGTTTTCACTTATAATCTTAAATGGCATAGTTTCTTAGAAACAACACTTACAGCAACACAAAACCACTTCACAACTTGGACGTTGCTGAATGCTGACTTAGTGGGTATAGAAAAGACGGCTGCATATTAGGCCAGGACTAAGTACAAACATTAAATGGATCGCATATACTCATGGGCTATGTGGATTCTCATAGTTCTGGATTGGATTTCAACTCTTTTGGTAAATGGGCTGGAACCAACAAGAAGTCCAGGCCTCGGGTACTCTTACTCAAATCTAGAATTTGTGCAGGGGCAGCCGACAGGTACTTCAAAATTCAAAAATATGAGCAGGTATGGCTTAGGTTTTAAACCACACAACTTACAAAATAAATGAGTAAAACAACAGTAGTAAGTACAATAACCACTAGTTACAGGCTTTCACTTTTTGTAATTTGTGATCCCCGCACTTCTGAAAAAGCACTTTTGCTCTTTTACCTCATTATAGACGGTGGATATAAGGCCATATGCCCCTTGCATTATGGGGCAAAACCTAGGACCACTTTACCTTTATGGATCCATTTTTTCTTCAGCCTAAGACAAAGTTTTGATGCCACCGATGCCAATGGATCATGCCACTGTTTTACTTAACAGGACCAGACCCGATAAACAAAATGTTTAAAGAAAATTTACACCAGGCATGTTTTTTCAATGCAAGATGTGATATGCCTCTACCATAACGTAAGGTTTACATCTGATGAAGGAAATTTACAGTATCGGGCAAAGCAAAACTTTGGAAAGAACTTTGCTGCATTTGCCTGAATGATTTAAGGAAACAAAAGAACATGGTCTAATAATTCAAGGCTCTTCTACAAGATAAGTCTATTAATGAAACTACCCACCAAACTTAACGTTTATGATGCAAAAGTACAAATTAACATGCAGTTATTGATTGCTATGGCCTTGTCAATTTGCAATGATGAAAGGCGGTATAAGAGCAGCCTGGAAATGGCATCAAACCCTGCTGAGCACCAATTAAATGGCTCGTGTCGTAGGGAAAATGACCACCTTTCTATTGGACCACAAGCCATAATGTGAACCATTAGTTGGGTGTTGGGCATCAGTAACTTTCTCTGAATGCTAAGCTTGGTTCTTTAAGAAGTTATTTAAATTTTATTCCTTCTTAGAACTAGTACAAATGCGCTATTCATTATCATGGCAGACACAGTAATGGTCAGACACTGTTTACACCTAATTTTCTTTAATGAAACTTCTTCCGTCTCTTTTGTTTTTATTGTCAATCTAGTTGGCCATCTTTAATTGAGTCAAAGGAAATCACAATCAATTCTACTTATTATATTTGGAGTTATAGGAAGATAGAAAGTGTATAGAACATCAATCAAGAAATCATCTTTTTGTATAGAAATCTTCCCAATACATAGTTACATGCAGAATCCCGATAAGAGAACATTTCTCTCGCAATTACTTACAAGAAAGACTAGATTATACATTTAGTTATAACATCTATTCTCTAGCTGTGTACAAAAGTGTAACTCCAACACTCTTACACCCATGTCAAAATAAATTTAAACTAATAAAAATCATTCATGTGTATAGAAGATACCTAAAACTGAATTCATACGGCATAACTTGGATAAATTGACAAGAAGGCTCACGCTTTCCCCTTTCAAGACATTGAATTGCTTTTTTTCCTAATTCACATGGTAACTGAAGGCAGATCCAATCCAACAATGACTCAAAGTCTTTTGCAAAGTCAAGTAAGTACCAATCCAATAGCTTTGGAACTGCAAACTTCTCTGCAGAAATACCAACTGCAGCTTGCAGGTATTCTCTTTTGGCAACTTCTAGTTCGTTTTCAACTTGAGAAGCAGTATATACTCTCACCTTCATATGTGAAGCAGAGTCTTTAATCAGTAATAGCATCACTAATGTAACTATTAAATATCACAAATAAAGGCCTGGAGAGACTCATGAAATAGAAATTATAAGGTATATCCAACCATAAAAGATTCTTGCATAAAAATATCCAGAAATTAATGGGATAAAACCAACTATGAGATATATTGCACTTAAAAGTTTCGAAGGATCTTCAAAGAAAAATAAGAACCATTAAGAAAGCCAAACAATTAATAAATTTCACTGTAACTGGATAGTTGATCATAAAGTTTTGCTAAACTTGGGACCACTGAAGATATCAATGTAATTTATCTCAGAATGCACGTGAAATAAAGCAGTATAATTAAATCAAACCTATCAATTTCTATGCGTGGACTTACAGCAGGGGAGGACCAGCTTCCACAAGAGAGAGCAAATGTTACCAACGGTTCAGATAGCTCCAATCCAAATACGCATCTTGCTGTCATTTCGTCGTTTTTCTCTCCCTTTGAAAAGGTCTGTTGAGTGCTTAGAGGTAAGTTGCAGGAAGAAGAATTAAATAAAAGCTGTAAAAGCTTGCAGAGAAGTTGAGTACTTAGTTGCAGGACAATTATTAAGGAACAAGCTAAGAGCTTGCAAAGGAATTAAGTACTTACATATTTTGAGTGATAAGGCAATCTGAGGATAAAATGTTCAATGGTAATTGCATTTAACAAGTGGCCCCCAACATTTATTGTTCCCTGAGTAAAAAGAATTGGAATGTATAAATTATTGATTACAATGCTATAAGCCACAAGTTGGCCGGGCAGAAATTATAAATTTTTAAGGTTAAGCAGCTAATAAATTGTTGGGTCCAAGTAACATCTCGGGAAATACAGCACCACTCTAACAAGAACATAATTGATTCTTAGATAGCCTGTCGTACCTTTCGCATCAATGCAACGACCATTTCGGGACTCTCTGGTAATCCATGCTCTAGGAATGCCTGGAGAAATGCAGTATAAGTACTTGGTTTTCTTTCTTAAATTAACAAGGTTAAAGAAAATGCCAAGGCACAGAACAAAATTACCACTTAACTGAAACTAAATAGTCACAAACATGGGTCAGACAAAGTAATGTAGTAAAACATATTTGAAAATTCATAGCTAAGAAACTATTGAATTCAATATAACAGTTAGGAGGTTTTACTTAAGTTCAAAGAAGGGCTCACGTACATTCATCATGCAGGAATTGTAAATGTTTATCCAGAATGCAAGCTTCTCCTGATGGGTGAGGTTCTGTAAATTGACAGACGCAAGTTTCCCAAGGAGGATTCTGAGAATTCACAAAACAAAATGATCATAAGTCCAAGTATTTTATTAAATATCATGAACAAAGTCAGAAGCCAAGCTACTTTTATATATCTGAAATATTACTTTAATCGATGGAGAAGAAACATAGAGCTTGATGTTCGGTTTGGATTGATCGAGTGTGCTTCAATAGCAAATAGATGCTTATATGGACCAATATCTCTTTTTCCAAATTGTGAACAGATACCATAAGGATCCCGAAATTCTGTTTCCTCTCTGCTTTCTTGAGATACTATTGCCGATAAAGAAGGCAAAGTATCTGCAGTGCCCTTTCTCTTTACTGTGCTCATTCTAAACAAAATGCTTGACAGGCATTTCAAAATATCCTCAGAAATTTTGTTTGGACCATCATCTCCAGATAATCTCTTATTTGAGATACTAATAGTTCTTGCTTCTGCATTGTCTGGGTCTCTTACTCGACATTCTAGCTGAACATTGTAGAGAACTAGTATTCATTTCACGGCAAATAAATGCAGTATAAGTTAATGAAAGTAATAATAGTACGAACCTGTAATTTCTGAGGAGCTAAATGCTTGTCTTCCAGTTTACTGACAATGAGAGTTCTCTTCACAGGAGTTCTGATTGGTTGGACTTTATGGACAGAGGATCCCTTGTTCTTCTTCACAGAATTAGTACAAGATTGGTTTTCTTTGCCTCTCCCATCATCTAATACATCAAGAAGGAAGAATAATATTTTAAGACTTGATTACAATTCACAAATAGTTAACTAGATTGATATTTAGAATGAAAATGGGATCAGAAACTGATAGGGTGCTTACTGGAAACAGAAGTCAATTGGCTTATAGTGGATGTTGTGGATTCACCCACATTTCCAGCTGAACGCTTGAATTGCGCTTGTTTTGAATTCTTGTTCACGCACGGTTCACATGATTCGGCTGAATTCTCCATGTTCTTCCTGGAGGATGAAATGTAGATAGCTTCTTGATATAAATCTTGTCTGAAATGCACTACCTGTTCTTCAAGCCGAACAACCTCCTCTTCCAATACGGCCACCTCTGCAAGAAGCTCCTTCGTCTACAAAAATAAAAAACTGTCATGAAAATTGATGATAAATGATTAAACAGAGCATCAGGATATCATATATTTGCATAAGCTTCATTCATTTTGTCGATTTTTCTAACCACGATACAGTCCCTATAAGTAAGACTTATATGTGAAGATTTTAATCTTGTAATTGAAATACTAATTTACAAGATTGACAAGGAACGACAAAATTTTGAATGTATGGAATTAAAAGGGATGGTGAATTACTAACAGAAGGAGGAAGATAAGGAGGTAGACGAGGCAGAGCTCCCAAAGGTCTATTGAAAGCTCTCTCTAAAGCTCTGTGAACATTCTCTTCATGTCTAAGCTTCTTCTTCAACTTATCAACCTGAAAATTTCCAATTTTGAACTCTAAAATCAACAGCAGAAACTAAAATATAAAAAAATCCAATATATCAAATTGTAAAAGAACTTAAAAGAAGAAAAAAAATTGTACTCACATCTTGTTGCAAAGCCATTTTTCTCTCTCTGCTAGAGGTTCGTCGACTTGTGATTGCTTTCTTGGCAGCAGCTACTTTGCTCCCCCGCATATTCGCCTTCTCCTTCAAAGCAGTAGAGATTGAAATTTATAAACTGATCATCTTCAAAGTTTAAGAAAATAAATCATTATGGTTTCAAAGATTTAATTTGAAAACTCTTGTCGTAATCTCATCAAATAATGCCTACTTTTTCAAAATCTCCAGGAGCGTTTCACTTTCTGGAGCCTCCTCATCGAAATTGAAGCCATTTCCTTTCAAGTGAAAACTATATTTACCCATTTGAGAATAATTACTACCCATTTCACGATTCTGACCCCTTATAATACAAACCGTTTCTTCCAAACAGAGTAATAAAATATGTATTAGAAAGCAGGGACCCATTCTAGATATTGATTAAAGATGATTTAATTGTGATTACTTTATCTTGCTTCTGTGTAGCCTTCATAGATTGCAGTGTACTCCTCACTCTGGTATTCATCTTCTATCAATGTCTGCAAAACCTGCAAGTAAATGATAATCCCCACACACCATCAAACAAACTTCACGAATCCCATTATAACTTGAAAAAAAAAAATACATTGAAAAAAAAAAATACATAAAAACTTAATCAAACACATAATTCTGAATTGCATTCATAACAAGAAAGCCATGTATATCAAACCTTTTATAATTTATGAAGTTCATTCCAAGACCAACAAACTTCAGTGAAGTCTTGAACTCCGACATCTGCATTCTGGGATCATTGTGAAGCACAAAGCAAATAACACCCAGAGAAATAGAAGTATGTCCAAGCAAACGTCATTGAAAGAAGCATGAGCAAGAAAATTCTATTTAGTAATATGAGTGATCATTAGAGAGAGAGAGAGAGAGAGAGACGTATTTGTTAAGTTTGGTTGGAAGATTATTTAAAGGTGAGTGGTGAAAGATTAAAGCGGTTGTCTCTGTAAAAAAAAAAATAAAAAAAAAATTCAGGTACAAGATAACACCGTACGCAACTCCATGCACCCCACTATCAAAAATGAGATCTATTCTAAACTTTGCCTCTTCGTCATCATGAGTAAACGTGCGACTTCTCTTTTACATTCTACTTCTACTACTTGTAATTTAACTACATCCATTTCTTCTCTTTTCAATTATTATTTTCCGGAGATACCCTCTGTTCTTCCTCCATTTACAGAAATTTCTTACAGTTACAGGTTGACTTGTGTGCCTATTAACAAGCAGAATGATTTCATTATAGCTGCTTGAAGCGTTGGGGTCTTGGTGAAATGGGGAAACTAAATAAGTTTAGTGGGCGGTATTTGAAGGCAAAAGCTGCACAAATCACATGTTTGCCAACTTTGTGGAAATATTTAATTTATTGAGACTGGAACAGATTCGACATTTAATATTTTGGTTCATCCTTGTCTCTACTCTCTAGATCGTGAATGTAATTCCATATCATTCTAAAATTAATTTGGTAATAGTTAACACTGTTTCATTTACAGTAGTTTTGAGATTTTCTGGTATTATTGTACAATTGAAAGACATGAATGATTGGTGGAAATAAAAGAAAAGGTTTGATGATAATGTTTTCCTGTTGAGATCTCAAATCTGTCGTCTTCTGTCATCTCTTATCTAATTCAGATGCAAAACCAAAATAGATTCAAGGTTTTATTATGTGAGAGTCCAATGTGAACCCAGATTTCAATTGGTGCCACTCAGCTTCATGAATACTAAACAGTCAACGACTGGATCACCTCTTCTTGGCCCCCAAACAACAACTTTCATCTGCACCAAATTTTTAATCAATCCAGATTTCAAAATAGCAATTAATGCAAATTGAAGGTTGAGATGCTTCATGTAACGTCTCTTTAAGTCTTAATAAATGTAGCTAATTTTTTATAGCCAGAAGTTAAAAGCAAAGGAATATGGATACCAATAATAACGCTAAATCCAATCCCAAGGGTTTAAACTTGAGTTTTTTCAACTCGAAGAGTATTCAATAAACCTCAAAAATCAATTGATGTGTGTACAAACTGATTTGAAAACCTTAGTTATAAAAAATTAATAATAATAAAAAATAAAATAACTGTAAACCCCACTTGGCGCGCCATGTCTGGCGTTCTTCTTAAGCTTTCCTCCTGTAGTGTAGATATCTACCTCGATTTTAATTATTATTAATTAATTATGGAAAATGAGAAGATATACACAAATGGAATGGGCGTTGAGCCATAAGGCTATCATGATAGTTGAGTTGGCGTTAATAAGATAACGGGAAGTGATTTTTTAACTATGACTGATTAATTGTAATGGACACAGTACCCACACCCACGTGACAATGACTTGTAATTTCATATTAATTACACATTAATGTTTAAACGAATATTCGGGTTTGCTAATGTCATATCTGTTAATTATATGGTGTTTGATTGTGAAAACTGAAATTGAAATTGAAATTGAAATTGAAAGCGAAACAACCCAATCGTTAGCTTTATACAAATATGCAATGTTTTCTTTTATATGTTTTAATAATAAGGACAAGATGGATTTACAGATTGTTAGATGGTGACTAATCCTATATTAATATTTTAATGTAAATTATGTTAATCATTTTCTATTTAGGAATTCATGCAACAAGGTTATGTCATTGAGTTTGGTACCAACCTCATCTACATGTTGGAAGACTATAATTTTGTGCCAAATCATAATAATTAGATTTCATTTAAAGATCAAATACTCCTCATTTAGATCATTATTTACTTAGTAAATCTTTTTAATTCAGTTGACGGTTTAGTCTCACCACACACCAAAAACATCATCTTTTGCGTAAACATTGAGAGATAACTAAAATATTCTATGTTAAATCAGTCAATTAAACTACCATATAAAATTATTGAAGATAACCTAAAACAAATTTACGTAATGTCTACGGGTCCAGGTTCCACCATTCACTAAACCCCAACTATCTTTATTTATTTATTTATTTTTTTTTTTTGGGTTAAGCTATAATGTTATTGTACTAGAGATTCCAAGATTTGAACTCAAGAACTTAAGGAAATAAGTAAACCTCTTTGACCGTTAGACTAACTCTTAGGGTTAACCCCCAACTATCGTCCTCATTGCTCCATTCACTATTTTTTATTAACTAATACTCACAGTCTATTGATTTATTGAACACCTTACAAGCATAAAAGACCAAATAAGTTATAATGTTATTGTGGCAAGTAACATCAAGGTTTGAACCTAAGAAGTGAATGAATGAAACAAATCTCTTTAACTGCGAGGCCAACCCATTGGGGTTAATTCACTATTTTTTTTTATTTTTTTTTGGTTGCCCTTCTTCTGGTAATCCAGAGCTTGAGCATTACTAGAAATGTAAGCTTGATTCGATTCGGACAAAATACTAGTAGGAAAAGTTTTTTATTTTTTAGTCTAATTTTTTTCGGATGGCAACAACGTAGCAAGTATGTTACAATACCCCAAAACCAAATGTTGATTTCAGAACGTGGAGGTTACTCCATGTACTGGACCAGTACCGATATATTACAATAAACAAATTAACAACTCAGGCTGGAAGTTTTCTATACATGTATCCGAATTAATTGAGGGTAATCTAGATGTAAGATTCTCTCGCTCCCTCTTTGTCTTTTCATAAGTTTGAGTTTGACCAAGATTAAAATAACCAATAATTTAAGATTTCATTTCAAAAGAAAATAATTTCTTGGCTGCATCAGGTCACATAATGACAAGTTTACTTCCCTTGGTTGATGAAATGTCTATCTCAAGGAAACAAATTAAGTTCAATATTATATCAATTATTTGAATCAATTAACTCCAGAAATGTGTAGATTTCTTGAAGAGAAGGCATAATTGAACCACCTTTTTATGAGTAAAAAATTTTTTGAGGTGACCTCCGAGATATGTATTAGCCAAGAGTGATGAAGACAGAATCCACTTTTACCCTATAGTCGAAACTTGAAGGAGATTTTAGGGTCTTTGGTACAAATCTGTCACCAGGGGACGGCCATTATTTCCATAAGAAAACAAGACATTTGGTCCTACCAGTAAGAACCAACATCTCCTTTCTTTCAATATTTTCATCCCACTAACAGTCTACAGATATGAGATATCAATCTCTCTACAGTTGTCTGACAGACAGGACAAGCACTTAGAGCCCCTGTTAACAATCTGATTATTCAGGTAATCATTATACATACCATTTAAGTTAACAAATAGTACGTTAGAAGCAAGGAGGTTGAGGTAATTGCTTGTATAATTTTGTGAAATGTGAATGTCTATGTTTATGCAGAGACCGAAGGAATCACTAATAGTTGATTTGAAGGTAAAGAGAATATGACCCTTCACCAGACAATGAAAGCCAGTTGTTAGAGATGAAAAAGAACCTAGTTTTACCTGGCTTATTCCTTGATCAAAATTATTCAGCGGCAGAAGCTTTTCCATGATGCGGTGGGACGATTCCATAATGACTATACCCCATTTTTCTTTTCTTCGTTTCTTGATCAAAGATTTCATGTCTTCTCTATAAAGTGCATGCTTTTACATGGCTTTTAATGCTTTTCAGTGTGGGGACTTTTGATGATAAAGATGACTCAGTTCCTCATGCCACTAAAATGATTGTACCATCTCTTCTCTTTCACTAAAGCGTATCGACTATTACCCTCATCTTTCCTTTTCTACTTTTCACCTTTCCTTTGTTTTTTTCCTCCCCTTTTTTTGTTTCCACGATGCAATGTAAAATTTTCCTTATGCCGCTAGTCATCAACCAAAAAATTATAACCAAATTAATTACGAATTGCTAAATCTGAATTAAGGTTAAAAGCAGCTGCATATATGTTACTGTCTCCAGGGCATGGTTTTTGGAGAAATCCAAGACCATGAAGAATATCAATGCAAGGTCAAAAGCTGGCACAGGCTTTACCTGGTCCTACTATCTATGGAAGCCTGCAGTGACTGTTTCCATGGGTTTCTGAGTCTGCACTTTATGTAGGCGTTAGGCCTAAATAGAAAATAGAAAAGAGAAACAACTTTGAAATATTTGTGCAGTTCTCTTCTGATAAAAGGGCAAAAGCAGCTCTCATGCTAAAAGGTTCGTCACAAACATCAATACAACTTTGGGTTGGGGTCCATCAAGTTTGTAAAGTTAAATCACTACTTTACTGTCTTATCTTTGCCTCCCCTTCCGATAGGATAGGATAATTTTGGAGAGACGCTCTCACAAATCTCCATTATTGAATTAAAAAAGGTGAATGAATGATCATAGTGCTTTGATGTCAAACTAACAGATGGTTCAATCAACACAAATCAAAGTCAGCAGTGTTGATGTGTGAGTGTCCTATTCCCTAGCTCACCACGCAGACTTGCCAACTAGGTTGCCAACTGGAATACCATGCCATGCCACCCTTTCCTTGTAGGATTTGTCTTCTACTATACATCAATGACTATATTAATATGCATGTTACATAGACCTTTATACAATTATAGAGCCTTTGGTTGCCACGCATCACCTTTATATTGTTTACAGCTTAAGGAAAGAAAAGAAGTAAAAAGAAACAGTAGAAGCTGCATTTGACAAGATCCACCAAGAAAATTGGTTCACCTAACTGCTTCTGTGGATCTACCATTACCATATACACTTAACAGAGGGTTAAAGAAATTAGAGTCCATGCATCATGGCATCAGTGAGCAAAGACAGGTAATGAGACCAAGCCAACAGATAAAAACAACTAGAAAGCTGGATAAATCGTAATTGAATAGTCATTGTCAATTGGTATTGGTTTTGCCAGCTCTTCCGTATGAATTGGTCCCCGTATCTAGTTGATATATACTTCCCTTCTTTAACTATTGCTTCCTTTTCCGTTCTAAAATTTCCAATATAAGTCCATTCTAGCCACTAAAGTTCACCAAAAAGAAGGTCATTTCCCTTTCAATCCGGCATTGATGGTACCACCATTGTCAAAAAGCGGTTAAAATGTTCATTATGAGTCTTTCTTCTGTCAATGAAGGAAAAAAATAAATAACACTTAAAACATATTTTATCATACAATTCACCATATTTTCCTTAGTGAAAACAACACTTGTTAGAAGTTAAGTGCGATGAATATACGAAAATTTTTGCGACAGTGCTCTGAAAATAAGCTTCATCTTACAGTGCGTTGCAGCATATCTTTCGGTAGCAGAAGATGTTGAAATGTGTGTGCCGCTTTAATTTTTGGATACGGACAAAGACTCGAGTATGGGCACCAGCTAAAAAAAACGACCTCTCTAACATCTCTTGGAACCAGTACCAACCCCTAAGTTAGGGGTTATTGGAATACACTCATTAAACTCAATTTCGATGGCTGTACAAGAAGCCGCTCGTCAGCACCACAAAGTCTGTTAATATAACTGACTACCCATTCATTGCATTAAACAAAGAAAGACGAAAATTCTGAATTACTACTCTTGAGTATCTTTTCTAATTACAAATGCCCTATTAAATGCCCCAAATCCATATTATAGAATGAATTGCTTACGAGGGAACGGCCATTCATTCATTGTTCTATGTCTAGTCAAAGTTATTTAGTGTTTTAAGTACAGTGAGAATTAACGTAACAGTTATCAATTCAACTACTACATTAGAGTTGTAAGAGCATTTCCAATGTTATTTTTTATTTTAAAGAGCATTTTTCATATATATAAAAAACATCTTTATTGATTTTTAAATATAAAAAACAAAATTTTTATTCAAATCCAATAGATTTTTTAAATTTTAGAAGAGATAATATGTTTTTTCAAAAAAAAAACTTAATAGGAAAGATAAATCATAAATAAAATGTATAGAAACTTACAACTTATTATTTAAAATTAAGATACAGAGTGAAATTTGACTTTCTAAATATGGAGAATCAAACTTACTCTTTAATTTATATTTAAAAAATAAAGAGTTTATTAAACTATTGTTTTTATAAATAAACTCTTTATAATAAAGAGTTTGAGTTATATAAAAAGTCATTTAAAGATATTCTAAAAATAGATTGTGAGATTAAGTTGTGAATACAGTATACTCTCGCTAAAGCTGCAGCGCACAAAGTAGAGAACCAGACTGTGATAATGTGATCCCATATTTCAAAAACGAGAAAGCTTATTCCCCGTATTTCACAAACACAAGAGATACACGTAGGCCATGTTGTGATCCCGACATAGCATGTCAGATATTTGATGCCATTGGCCCATCTTTCTTCATCTTTTAGACCCATTCTGTGACCCACAATAAGGCCCATTTATATATCTTCACAAATGAAATTGCTTTTTAGTTCACAAACGAGATAGCTTATCAGATATTTGAGGCCCATATTGTGGCGGATCATTGGCAAATAAAAAAGTATTTGATTGCGGTGAGCGTGGATCGAACACGCGACCTTCAGATCTTCAGTCTGACGCTCTCCCAACTGAGCTATCCCCGCTGATCGCTTTGATAACTAACATCCAGTAATGTCACATGTAAAAGCTGGAAAAACCATATTTATATCTCGTAAGCACTAACAAGTAACAAGCACATCTTTAATGGGTAGATTAGCTTATATGAATTTATCGTGTGTAAACTGTAAACTTAGCTCAGGCCAAAGAATGCAAGGGGCAGCCGCCAACTAAAGTCAATCGATAACTAGTTTATTTCAAGAACCATTAATCTTTCAGCAGCCACGTATTATTTTGTTAATTTTATATCGACTGTAATTCTGCTCAACAGCTGGATTGGTCTTACTTTGAGACTTGAGTAATACTTGCACATGACCAAGGCAACATCTCGGTCCACTTTCAGCAATTAATTAGTGCTTAAAGTCAAAAATGAAGCATACATTAGTCGGCCAATATGTAATTTACTGCATTTTCTCTTCTTTTCCAAAGTAAGGTCAATTGTGGTTGATCAACCTCTTCCGCCACCAAACTCATTGTTCTTGAAATATGGAAGTTCTATATATTCTATAAATCATTCCAGGCTACTAAAAATGGCAAATTCTGCCTTTTTCATTTGGATTTTTCTCTTGTCCTTGGCAAGCTTAAGTCCATGTTATGGATGGATTGATATCAATCCTATTAAATTCGTTAAGGAGGAACTGTCAAGGGAGAGACCATCCCATGCATTTACAAGCTATGAATTTGATACATATTCAGCTGTCAATATCAGCCCCCAAGACGGACAGAAAGAGAAGGATAAGATCGAAAGCTTGCCTGGACAACCTCCTGGAGTGGAGTTTGATCAGTATTCAGGCTACGTAACGGTGGATCATGAAGCAGGCAGAGCATTGTTCTACTATTTTGTTGAGGCACCATTGAATTGTTCTTCCAAGCCACTTGTCTTGTGGCTAAATGGAGGTAAGCCCCTGCTCCTGTACTTCAATTCTCTGTGATGTTGCACTTGTTCATCTGTTGGGGAATGTAGCACTCATATTTATATAAAAATTATCAAGATGATAATCATATGTTTTTAAAATACCGTACAATTTGAATGGACTGCTCTGTCGTTATTAAGATTGTTTTGTCTAAATATATAGGATAAGTTTTACATCCCCTGAGATTTATTGTTTATAAACAAAAAGAAAAGAACAAAAACAAAGAAACTGAAATTTATTTCCATTTGAAGATATGCCCACATATACTACTATCATATGAAGTTGACAATTAATATAGGTTCTGATGGCTAGGGCCTGGTTGTTCTTCATTTGGGGCTGGAGCATTGATGGAACTTGGGCCATTTAGAGTTAACAAAGATGGTAAAACTCTATACCGAAATGAATATGCATGGAACAAGGGTGAGTTTCTTATCTCTAGTATTCTTATTCATGCTCAACACTGCCCATAAAAAGCAATAACTAATATAATTTGGTCGGTTTCTTTAAATAATTAATTCCAGATGCCAACATAATCTTCTTGGAATCTCCTGCTGGTGTTGGATTTTCCTATTCAAACTCAACCTCAGACTATAAATTAAGTGGAGATTACAGAACTGCCCAAGATTCCTATGCATTCCTTGTTAACTGGTTGGAAAGGTTCCCCGAGTACAAAACCAGGGAATTTTTCATAGCCGGAGAGAGCTACGCAGGACATTACATACCGCAGCTTGCTCATGCAATCCTTCAGAACAACAAGAACACCAAGCAAACCATAATCAATCTAAAAGGAGTTGCTGTAAGTTTCATAAAATATTAACCGTTTCAGAACTCAATGCCTTTATGTGAGCCTTAACTGAGTTTTGATGATTTAGATGGGTAACGCTTATATTGACTTTGAAACAACTATAAAAGGGGCGGTAGATTTTTATTGGACGCATGCCCTCATGCCTGATGAAATTTACCATGGACTTACGTCAAGCTGTGATTTTACTTCACTAAATACTTCGGACAAAGTATGCGTAAAACTTATTAATGAAGCAACTGATGCGGCTGGCAACATCTACTCCTATGATATCTATGCTCCCTTGTGCAATTCTTCCTTGAAATTTCATTCTGTAAGTATATTTTTGTTGTCTGTACTATATGTACTTGTACTGTTCTATTATATTAATCTCTCTGCTAAGATAAAATGCAAAACTGCAGGTTTCAGCTTTCGACCCCTGTTCAGAAAGTTATATCAAAAGATACTTGAACATTCCTCAAGTTCAAAGAGCTCTTCATGCAAATGTTACTGATCTTCCTCATCCATGGGAATCCTGCAGGCACAGCTCTATACACATTAATAACTTAAAGTCATTTTATTTTGCACTCTGATAATCCACTAACATTAGTTCTTTTTGGTCTTTTGTGTCATGGTTAAAAACAGTAGAGATATAAATCGAGTTTGGAAAGATAAGCCGCTAACAGTATTGCCAATCATTCAGGAGCTAATGGCAAGAGGAATTCGTATATGGATGTACAGGTAAGGCAACTAAACAAAAACTCATCTTCTGATAAATTCATGCATTTAACTATTAAAAATGTTGAGGATTTCCGCTTATAACCAATCAAACATAAAATATATATATATATATATATATATATATATGCAGCGGCGACACAGATGGCACTTTACCTGTAACGTGCAGTAGGTATGCCATTAACAAACTGGGAACACCAGTCAAGACAGTCTGGTACCCCTGGTACACCCAAGATGAGGCAAGTATTTCACACAGTATCTTTCATTGAACTTGGTATATATTTTCTTTATTTCACAACCAATATGACTATGTTTGTATGTTACTATTTTTAGCAAACTTTGAAAGTGGTCAATTAAATCAACTCTTACTTAAATGCTATACATAGTTATTACAAACGGTGTCAAAACTGATTCGGGTGTTTGTGTATGAAGGTTGGCGGATATGCTATTGGATTCCAAAATCTCACATTTGTAACTGTAAGAGGAGCTGGGCATTTTGTTCCAAGTTACCAGCCGGCTCGGGCGCTGGTGCTCTTCTCCTCATTCATAAACGGGGTTCTTCCACCTTCAGCTTAGATATTTTTGAACTGTAGTCTGAAAAACTAAGAGAAAAACACAACTAACAACAGTTTTTCTGCTTTTTGGTAGTCTGATTAAATTTTGCGGGAAAATAATTACAGATTACAACTTTTTAAGTACATTGTTAATTAGTTTTTGTCTTGCGCTGTTTCTGAGTTAATATAAGTTAAGTAGGCCTCAAACAACAAGAGTTAAATGAAGTTTTGGAAATCCAAATCAATTCTTCTACATAATGGAAAAGAATGATCTTTTTAAGTCTCTGAATTTACCGGATGATTTTGGAATGAAGACTTTGATAGTCAATTACAGCAGCTTGGTCACTAATGTACTAAAAACTAGAAGTTCAGGACACTCTGTTCCAAGTTATCAGGAAGGTACTGTTAGAGCAATGATTGACCATATTTCAACTGGTTTTCCAAAACCAAGTTCATGAAAGAAAGTGAGGGAACAGATGAAACAACAGTGCAAATCAGAATTTCAAAATCAAATTGTAGTGGAATTGTTAATATGTAATGATGAAACAACTTTTCAAGTAATCACGACCTTAGACACCTGAGTTATGAGGGTTCTAAACCCCGGTTCCAATGCATTGTTGAATGATCTAGTTAACAGATGGTATTAGAAAAACACCAACTACAATAATGAGAGAAGAAGATGATGATTGAAAAAGCCTATTTGTTCCTGTAGACAGCGAAATATCACAAGAAAACAACAGCCAAGTCAAAATTAAATATATGGACGGGTAACTTGTTCGTAGTGGCTGGTTGGACATCTTAACAAACTTTCTTTTAATGTTTCAAATGACATGGTATTTTATCTTTTATGATACCTTTCTGAAGGTATCTTTGTATTTAAGCCATTCCAATCGAAAAATTCAAAATCAACCCCTCAGAGTGGTTGTAGATTAGTTGTCACATACTCTCTAGACCTTAAAAAGAGGATGTTTCCCAAGTTCCCAAAAATAGTTGCATCACCGTTTCGTATGGGAACAATAATAGAATAACGGCCCGGATAATTCGATAGAGAAAGCTGGATCGCCTCTTATTGAATGATAATGGAGAAAGCATGTGTAAAATTGTCACTTTATTGTTATATAAAAACCTGATACTGTTTGAAAAGCTAGTATAAGTTTGATAAGTTAGTTACGGATAAACCACAATACACAGAGATGAAGGTTACAATCACGTTATGGCTGGTGCTACTCTGTTGCTACAATTGGGTTTCCCCATTTTTTGCAATGGCAACCAGATAACAATCTAAACAAGTTATCAAATCTCGACAATCCCCAATCCTCCTCGGGGTGATTTATGCGGGGTGATTACATGAAACAATGTCTTCCTTGTGGATAGGACACCAAAAGGGGCTGAAGGAATCAGACAAGATCAACAATTTGCCTGGACAACCTCAAGGAGTGGATTTTGATCAATATGCAGGCTATGTAACAGTAGACCCCAAGGCTGGAAGAGCACTGTTCTATTATTTTGTAGAGTCACCGCATAATTCTTCCACCAATCCCCTGGTATTGTGGCTCAATGGAGGTAAACTATCCGAACATTATTTAATTATTGAATCATTTCTTTCCTAGTTATATTACATACTCCTTATAGTAAACACACAACAAGAAGGATATCGAACACTGGCCCTCGAGTCTTATCTCTCTTCATTTAATGTGATCTTCTAGGAGAATATCTTGTTTTTAGAGAGTGTCTTCTGTCCAGGGAAGAAAACTGTGCTAGTGATTTCACGAGTGTGTGTCACATAGAAAAGCGCAATGAAAATGAATGTCCATGTTAACCGTCTACAACTGTAAAGTTAAATAGAATAATCATTGATTCACGATATAACTTCCATTTGGCATTAGCCAACCTGATTGAGTATTCAATCTGACATTCTCTTGTCCACTACGGATGGCCCACTATTCAAAAAATCATCTAGCACTAATGCTTTCCTTAGAGAAAAACCATCTTCATTTAATGGATGCACCTTCCCCTGATCTCGTTATTATTCTTGAGCTGACCTATGTGGCCACATTCACAGCATCAGTATCATTGATGGTCCACCAGCCACTGAACAAACCATCAAGTCCAGCAAATTCTCGGTAAACCCAATAGCATTTAGACTGTTCTCATCTCCGGTGATTACTTTATAATCTTTGGATTAACTTTATTCTGCTATCTGTTGGATATCAATCATGCCACCACCTTTGTACAAATAAATCCCAATTGCAACAAAAGCAAGAATTTTCTCCCACAACATTATTGTTCCTTCCCTGCCTCGAACATGGACAACAGCTAGCACGTGCTGCCATTACAGATCCCCGATTAAAAATAAGGGTAAACGCCTTGTTACTACCCAAGGTTTCGCCTAATAAGACTTTCCCACCCGCCAAGTTTTGTAATGACATTTTCCCACCCACCGCTACAATTTGTCCGTTAATTTCAACTACAGAAGAACATAATGATAATTTCAAAAAAATAGTCAAAGGATAATCGTGTCATTTACCCTCTTCTTCTTGTCTCTTACCTCTTTCTTTTCTTTTTTTTCTTCCCTTCCCTGTCTCCCCTCCTTCCTTCTTTTTTCTTTTTCTTTTGTTTTGTGGTTTTCACAAGTTTCTATTTTCTTCTTGCGGGGTTCTTGGTGGAACCCCTCTTTGAGGCCTTTTGCAAAAATCTTTCTTCTTGGCTAGGAACGAACCTCTTGAACTTTCTTGTAATCATAGCAAATTCTTCATCATCTTCGCTCTCTTCTTCCTCATCATCACTCTCATCTTTTGTAGAAGCTTTGAGAGCCCCTGTTCTTGTATCATCCTCTTCTTCTCCATTCTTCATGGTAAGCTCATGGGTCATTAGAGAACCCAAGAGTTCTTCTAGAGGTAGTCTTGAGAGGTCTTTGGCTTCTTGAATGGACGTGACCTTAGCTTCCCCTGATCTAGGAAGAGATCTTAGAATCTTCCTCACTAGCTCACCGTTGGAGTCAGATTTGTAAGATTTCAAGGCATTGATGATATCGGTGAAGCGAACATTTGTGTGATTGATTCATCACCCCTGAGGCTAAGCTTAAACCTTATGTGTCTGTGTCGTCTCGCTGAGCAGCAACAAAATAAAAAAGTTTAATACTAGTAAATGATCAAAAAGAAAACGGAAATGAAGTAGGAAACTACGGCTCGAAAGCAAGAAACAAGGGAAAAGCATCGAGAAGAAAAGAAGATGCCTATTATCCCTATTGCCGAGAGAGAAGAAAATGAGCTATTTGCACCTTGGATCGAACAGAGTGATCGAAAGATCTCCCTTGGTGCCCCAGGCCACCAGTTCTTGCGAGCAAACTCCCAAACAAGAGGACAGGTAGAAGAGGGCGATGAAGTTTTCCTCGATTAAGTCGAGCCAACATATTTGAGAACCATGATGAGATGGACTGGTGGCTGTCAACTGTTTTGATAACCGCCAGCACTAATTGGCCGACTGCTCTTTTTTTTTCTTCAAAATTTTATTTATTTATAAAAATATTTTAATATTTAAAAGAAAAGAAAAGAAAAATTAAAATAAAGTGAATTTACTATTCTATCCTTTTGCAGTTAAAACTAATGGAAAAATTGTGACGGTGGGTGGGAAAATGTCATTATGAAACTTGAGGGGTGGGAAAGTGTCATTAGACCAAACCTTGGGTGGGCAAAAATCGTTTACTCTTAAAAATAACAAAAAGAGGAACACTGTAAAATTGATAGTTTCTGTGATGTACAGGGCCAGGTTGCTCATCTCTTGGATATGGAGCCATGGAAGAACTGGGTCCTTTCAGAGTTAACAGTGATGGGAAGACCCTGTTCAGAAATGAATATGCATGGAACAACGGTATGGATACTAAAAAAAAAAAAAAAAATTTCTTTACTAAAAACCATCATACATACATATCTAAAAAGGTGGTCAAAAAATTGGCAGTGGCAAATGTGATCTTCTTGGAGTCCCCCGCAGGAGTGGGGTTCTCATATTCAAACACTAGTTCAGACTACGCCAACGCCGGTGACAAGAGCACCGCTGAGGATGCTTATACTTTCCTTGTAAACTGGCTGGAGAGGTTTCCCCAATATAAAACCCGTGATTTCTTCATAGCTGGTGAGAGCTATGCTGGTCATTATGTTCCTCAGCTGGCAAATACCATTCTCTTGAGGAACAACAACACGAAGAACACAAAAAAAACTATCATCAACCTCAAAGGGATTGCCGTAAGTTAACTGTGCTAATATTTTGATAAATATGATATGCAAAAGTAAGTTGAAGACTGATACCAACATTTCAATCAATAATGCAGATTGGGAATGCTTGGATAGATGATAATACGGGCAACAAAGGAATGTACAATTATTTCTGGACCCATGCATTAAATTCTGATGAAACCAACGCAGGGATTAACAAATACTGTGATTTTGTTGCTGGTAATTTTTCAAATACATGTTTAAAGTATCAAAACCAAGCAGATGACGAGATTGGGAACATAGATATATACAACATCTACTATCCACTTTGCCAGTCAAAAGCAACTGCTCCAGCATCAAAAGGTGGCTCATCATCTGGTTCCGTAAGTGTTTGTACTCGTAACAACATTGATATTTCGACTCAAATTTCGTATTTACCTATAATTTAAACATTAATTCCAAGGCTCTAGTAAATTTCATGGATTAAACCTAAATGGCATAATATCTATACTCCAAAAGTATATGTTCACCAATCAGGATAAAAGAATAGTATAGAAAACGAGTTTTGATTATTTTGTCAACTTAACCAGTGATGATCGTCTTCCATCAGGTGAAAGATATTGACCCCTGCTCCGAGATATATGTTAACTCCTACCTAAATCTTGCCGATGTGCAAAGAGCTCTGCATGTCAAATCTACTAATTGGTCAGCTTGCAGGTAAGACTAATTTTCTTTCCTTTAAATATCATATTTGATTAAACCTATTATTCTCTTGATTTACATTGTAGTTGGACATCTTTGGGCTCAAAAGATTCAAAAATTAGATCCTTCTGAGAAATAATTATATGCAAACTAAATCGACAATTTATTTTTCAAATGAAAGTCGTCCACATTATCTTTTGTACAATCCTTATAAACTTAAATCAACTGAGCTATTAATATCAACTCCCAAGGTTAACTAAATAATATAAATTTGAGGAATTGAAAGGAAATTTCTTTTGCATTATTTGCCAGCTCTGTAGGATGGACAGACAGCCCAACAACTGTTCTACCCACAATACAGCTCCTGATAGCAAGCGGAATAAGAGTGTGGATATATAGGTAAGTCTAGATTCTACAACAGCTTCTTCGAAAAAGTTCACATAATGTTGTATCTAACATTCAAATAGTGAACCTATACAACAGACTTGGCACTAACATTTGAATGTAATTCAAAATAAACCTGCAGTGGAGACACTGATGGACGCGTTCCAGTGACATCCTCTCGGTACTCCATAAACACTCTGAATCTTCCAGTGGAAACAGCTTGGCGCCCATGGAACATCAGAGGCGAGGTATTGTATTATTATTTTGACCATTCATACACATCAAAATAATTAAAAGGTATAACTAGTTAATGTGGTGGTCAACGCAGGTTGGAGGATATGTGGTTGGGTACGAGGGAGTGACTTTCACCACTGTAAGAGGATCTGGGCATATGGTTCCTAGTAACCAACCGGAACGATCGCTTGTCATGATCTCGTCTTTCCTTCACGGGACACCTCTCCCTGCAGACAACAATTCAAAGCCATAATCCCATTTCAACATTTTAATTATCTTATCATCATAAATTTCAGCTACTTGTAATCAAGCTATACAAGACATTTCCTGTTGAATCGTAGGGGATATTTGGTTGCGGGTAACGTGGGATTACTTAGATTATGTCATCTTATATTACTTGATTACCACATTTGGCTGTCAAGTAATATAAGATTCCGGTAATCTTCAAATACCAATAATAATTACTGTTGGTAATATTAGAGGTAATCTGATTACCTTCATTTTTTTTAAGGTATTGTAAGATTTTCAGGGTAATCATTTCTTTTTTACAATTCTATCCCTTATTAATAAAATTTTAGGACAATAATGCCTTTTTTTTTAAATTTATTTACACGAATGTTGCTTTTATTATTTCACCCCGATTAATTAACTTTTTGGACAAAATTACCTTTGAATTCAAAACAAATTGCAGCCCATCCAAGCCACCCCCCTCACCCACCTGTTGCCGCTTGCCGTTGGCAACCACCATCGTGGCCAGCCTCCGCCACCGGAAAGGCGCACGAAAGGCTGAAAATGACCGTCATGTGCCGATATGGTCATTTCCGGCTTAAAGATCTGACCGAAAATGGTCAGATCATGACAAATCTAGCCGTTAACGGCCATCAATCTGACCGTTGACTGCCAGGTCAACGGATCTGCCCATTGATGGCCAGATCCGTTTGATGGCTAGATCGATGGCCATTAACAGCCACTTTGACGGTCAGATTGATGGCTGTTAATGGCCACGCCATGTCTGTGGCCGTTAACAGCCATCGATCTAGCCGTTGATGGCCAGATCGCTGGCCGAAAATGGTCATACGACACACGAAGGCCATTTCCTGCCTTCCGTGTACCGTTAGGTTGCCGGCAGTGGCTGGGTTAGTGGGGGTGCTTTGTTGATTTTCCAAACTTTTATTATGGGATTGTTTTTGCTAAGTTTTTAAATGCAGGGGGTTTATAATAATCAATATTAAAAAATAATATTTAATTAGTGGACAATTCAGTAATTTAAATAACATACCCACTAATTTATTCCTTCCAACCAAACATATTAATAAAACATATCCGTTAATTTATTCCAACTAACCAAACATATTTTCTTAAAGATTCCAGTAATCTTCAAAGTAATCTAACTTTTCAGTAATCCAATATTCCATGAACCAATCGCACCTTTACATTACTAAGAATAGTAACCACGAAAAAGAAATTATTAATGTGGCCCATGAATGTATTTCAAGCCTGTTGCTTCAGATACCGGAAGATTTCTCATAAGTTGTAGCACATGCACTATTCAGCCTCTGAAACATACATGGAAACATATGTAAGAATTTAACCCCAGTAATAAAACTATCTATTGAAGTATGACACATACGGATGACAATGGAAGTTTCAACTGAACCAAGTCATGCTTGTAAACGTAGTATAAAAATTCAAGTATAGACTGAATTAACATATAATAAATATATTTTCAAATCACAATTAAAAAATATATTTTTTTGGACTCTTTCCATACTTTATAATTGGTCAGTGAAGATTCAAATCCTGCCTCCTGCATACCGCTGTTTCTTCCTGTCATTTCAAAAACAAAATATAATGCAAAAAGTGTGATTGGAATAGGAAAACAGCAATGTCGTTTCAAAATACATTAAGTCAACCGTCTACAACTGTAAAGGTGAATAGACAATCACTATCACGACTGCAAAGTGCAATGGTCCACCACTGAACGAGCCATCTAAATTAAGGCAGAAACCTGATTACATTTACAGGTTAAGATTTAGGAGTTTCGTCTCAAGCTTTCTCAATCTGCGTTCATCTCTTCATCTTCATGTTTTCATCTTAGACAACCTTTATGTGGTGGGGTCAATTTCAATGACTCGGCTATCTGTCAGCATCGTTAGTGGAACTACTTTACCACGTATTCCTGAGGCCGTTTTCTCAATGATTCCCGACAATCATATTACTTTAGATCTCTTTTTACATATACAATATATAAAATTACGTCACTTAAAGTTAGACAAAATTTGTTCTTAGTCATCCTGTTCAGTGTCATTAAACAGCATTACATCTTATTTCGCCATTTATATTTGAGTTTTTTTAAGTTAGAATCCTAAACCATTAACCAATTATTATTGCTGCACCCCCACCTCGGGCATTGATTTGTTGGTTGTTTTATGTCATTCCAAGCAGTTCATTAGCATACTGCTATTATACAACAGAGATCAAGAATAATAAACAGAAAATTTGATAGTCTATGTGATACACAGGGCCTGGATGCTCATCGCTTGGATATGGGGCCATGGAAGAACTGGGTCCTCTCCAAGAGTTAATGGAAATGGAACGACGCTGTACATAAATGAATATGCATGGAATAAGGGTATGGATTCAAACATATTTTTTTGTTTACCAAAACGATTAAAGAAACATAACTAAATCTTTATGGCAGTGGCAAATGTGATCTTCTGGGCCAACTTCAGCCTTCCTCGTAGTCATACAATCCTCCAAATCCGTAGAGCACTTGAATGTAATTTAAGTATGTTGTTCTCGGCACTGGAAGATGTCATATATAGTAATTACTGAAATAATCCCTTACGTTTAAATCAACTCAACCGGGATCCACTTTTCCACAGTTAAAATAGATCATGGATACATCCACTACTTACAGCATAACTTCCTCTTACGGGTTCTCACGTTGTTGAGATAAAGTCAAGGAAACCACACACACAAGCGCACACAGAGAGACAGAAACTCGTCATAACAATATAGCCACTAAGAGTACTAACAAAACACGGCCATGTTCGACTATATGGCTCACCACTGAAGGACCACCAGGCATAAAATCCTATCCAAACCTGAAAGTACGTCCTTCTGGTAGGATAGAAAACAAACTTAAACATTAAAGATGTCAAAAAGAAAGGACTTTCCATTATAACTTCAAATGTACAGTAGTATCGTACAATAACAGAATCCACAGAGATTAATCACAGCTCTACTCCTAACAAGACTTCCCCTGGTCGTCAGCAATTCAAGAAATTGCGATATAGCAATAGTCCTGATCCAGTCAGTGAGTTGTATAATTATGTGAAATCATATATATAAATACAATCAAAGAAAAAAATAAACAAATAGAGAAGCTTTTTTTCGACAAGTCGTTTCAATAGCCTCTTTAGTGACCTCAAAAGAAAGCTATGCCAACGAGATATAATGTCTCCACAATGTCAAACATCTCAGAACCTTTCTGTTCTGCCGCTCGCAAGTTTTCCTGTCATAATTATGCAAGTCACGCAAACCTCATTTGTAGATGTGCTACCCCAATCTTGCCTGATTTTTCCACGTCAGTAAGCTGGAAGGAAACTAGAGATGAAAGGCTCAATAGTCCACTACGAAAGGAGATAATGACAATTTTTTAACCACTGGGCAAGAAATCATTATAAGTATCACCTGAATAACTTAAACGTCTAGATACGTTCATGTGCTCCCAAGGCTTCAAGGATGCTATCTACCCAACTGCCACCAAAAATATAAGGTGTCCACATCTGCAGTTAGTATATTGTAATATACTAAAGCGCAAGTAGAACACAAAAATTTATATCGGTGATCGTTCAAATAATATATTAAAAAGGCATCAGTTAAATGAGAATGAAGATTACCCTTCAAGTCCAGGATGTGTTGGGTAGTAAACGTTTCTCAGGCCTAATCTTTTTGCAGCTGAAGCAGTAGTCTCACCAATACATGCAACTGAATTGCTCCACTGCTCAGATTCTGAAATAATTTTGACCCAGGAACTGTTGCAACACAGGTTTTTAACAAAGTCAATGCAAAAATATTACCAAAAAGAATCAAGTATTTGGAAGAGAACTACCCCCATTGTAAAACTGCTGGTCATTTAGGGATCACAAAATGATGAAGAAATAAGAAATGCATGAGTTTCCATGAGCCTTTGTCTATCAAGAATCAAGGTTAATTACAGTTATAACCAGATTTACTCAGTATGTTCAAGTCATGAATTTCCTCATTGATGGATACAAAAGCTTTTAATATAACTTTAGTCCAGGATGGAAAATATTATATGTTACTACCACCACCTACTTACCGAACTGCAGAAGGTGAAGCAACTGCAACAACTGGGGTAGAAAGTGCCTGCTTCAGAACAGTCTGGTCAACATTATGAACAGGTTCCTGAAAAAAAATTATAAGGTGGCTGCTAAGTTAGAGTTCTAGGGCTATTTTGATAATCAAACCAAGCACATCAAAACCCTTATAATTATCAAAATCCCATGCGTAGGAGACCATAACCAATAAGAGAAATGCTATATGTACAAAGACTTTTACAAAGAGTCTTTGTACAAAGTAATGTGACAGCTACCATACCACTAGTTTGTGAAAAGAAAGAGAAAATTGATGTGACACTAATAGTGTGGCAGCTGCCACATCATTTTGTACAAAGACTCTTTGTAAGAGTCTTTGTACATCTAGCATTTCCCAACCAGTACTACATCATCAAGTTTGCCAAACAAACCATTTCAAACAAGACACCAAGGAAAATTATTAAGGTATGTCTGAACACCAGTCTGCAACAGAGAGAATTAGCCTCTCAGCAATAATCATCATTTGGCCATCTTACATTAACATATAAATTTATTTGATTTATTGAGGAACACAACATGAAGATAAATAGTCATGTGACGTACAACCATCGGAAAGACAAGAAAAAAATCACTCAAAGCAAAAACCAATTTATATCACTCATAGGAGGAAATGAAACTAATGTACCAGCATTGAAGTACTAACCGTTGTGTATGTATTCAGCCTCACAACCTCAAATCCACGATTGGATAAGCCTTCTTCTGAAACATACATGGAAAATAGATGTTCAAAACAATTAGAAGTATGATACATTAGGAGTCAAAGTATGAAACTTTTTACCAAACATATTTTCTTTCGTAACATTAGAAATTATGGAAGCTTACTTATAGTATAAACTTATGAATTACCACATAAATCAAACATTTTCTCTTAACATATATTGACAAAATGCCCTGGCATCACAGCCATAATATGCAAACAATTTATTGATGTGTTACCAAAACTTCAACCAAAAGTTTAAATGAACCACAAATTCTCCATATAACAAAGCAAAAATGAACCCTGTAATTAATTAAAACCAGTTATTAGCCGTTAACAAACTGAACAAAGTCAGGATTATAACCACAGTTCCAAGGAAAAGGTAAAAGAATCACTGTAGCATGAACCAACCAGATTAAGTACCTCATGGTGAATAAGTAACAACTCAAGGTGTAGCAATTCTTAAATTAATTAGTGCCAAAGCAGGAAAAAAGAAAAAGAAAAGAAAAGCACATCCTTCAAAAGGAAAGCATACAACCAGAACTTTTCACATACCAATCTCATTGCTAGCTTTTTCAGAAGCAGGATACAAGACAGTGCATCTTTCATTCCCATTCTTTGGAAGCTCTGAAGCCAAAACTTTTCCTGTAGCTGCAGGGAGGAACAATTTACCCCAAAAGGTTAAAATCATCTTCAGAAGCTATTAGAAACCAAACAGTGATGTGAAAAAAGCAATCTACAACCATTTACTAAGAAACCTGGAATCATTGGTTGGATATTATGTAGCAACTGATATCCTTTTTTGCATAAACATAAAAAACCAATCTGGTTATGATAGGAACCTACTCCAACAACTCAAACAATTGGGCTGGACAATGAGCTTTTTTGGGCTTCGGTAGAATTCTCCTAGGAAAACCGGCTTGCTAAGGGAAGGCGCCCAAGCCCTTTATAACCCATATGCCCACCTTTCTCTCTTCCAATGTGAGATCCTAACATTCCACCACGCTTCCACAACCGACGTCCACGTCGGCCTCTTTATCCCCGTCGACTTCTTTACCCCTTGGGTGACTTTACGGATCCCCTTACCTTGGGCCGATCCTCTCTCCTTCGAGGTAGCAGCCTAGGCCCAAGGTCAGGCTGACACACATGTGCCACCACGTAGGCACAGGATCATGCTCTAATACCAATTGATAGGAAACCACTCCAACAACTCAAACAATTGGGCTGGGTAATGGATCTTTTGTGGGCTTGGGTAGAACTCTCCTTGGAAAACCTACTTGCCAAGGGAGGGCTCCCAAGCCCTTTATAACCCACATGCCCATCCTTTTCCCTTCCAATGCGATATCTTAACATTCCACCACGCTTCTACAACCGACGTCCACGTCAACCTCTTTACCCCCGTCGGCCTTTTTACCCTTTGGGTGATTTCGCAGATCCCCCTACCTCGGGCCAGTCGAAGGTCATCAATCGTTGCTTGGAAACATACCTCCGATGCTTTGTCGGCACCCAGCCCCAGCAGTGGCCAAGATGGATTTCATGGGCTGAATTTGGTTTAACACTACATTTAGCAGTTGCATTGGCATGACGCCCTTCAAAGCACTATATGGGCACGATCTCCCGATCATCCTTAAGTATTCTGACCACAATTCAGCGGTTGAGGAAGCGGATCAAGTAATACTTGACAGAAACAATATTCTCCAGGAATTAAAAGAAAATCTGGTCAAAGCTCAAGGCTGAATGAAGCATTTTGCATAATTTCCTTGTAAACTGGCTGGAGAGGTTTCCCCAATATAAAACCCGTGATTTCTTCATAGCTGGTGAGAGCTATGCTGGTCATTATGTTCCTCAGCTGGCAAATACATTCTCTTGAGGAACAACAACACGAAGAACACAAAAAAAACTATCATCAACCTCAAAGGGATTGCCGTAAGTTAACTGTGCTAATATTTCGATAAATATGATATGCAAAAGTAAGTTGAAGACTGATACCAACATTTCAATCAATAATGCAGATTGGGAATGCTTGGATAGATGATAATACGGGCAACAAAGGAATGACAATTATTCGGACCATGCATTAAATTCTGATGAAACCAAGGGGATTAACAAATACTGTGATTTTGTTCTGGTAATTTTCAAATACATGTTTAAAGTACAAAACCAGCAATGACGAGATTGGGAACATAGATATATACAACATATACTATCACTTGCCAGTCAAAAGCAACTGCACCAGCATCAAAAGGTGGCTCATCATCTGGTTCCGTAAGGTTTGTACGTAACAACATTGTATTTGACTCAATTCGTATTTACCTTAATTTAAACATTAATTCCAAGGCTCTAGTAAATTTCATGGATTAAACCTAAATGGCATAATATCTATACTCCAAAAGATAGTTCACCAATCAGGATAAAAGAATAGTATAGAAAACGAGTTTTGATTATGTTGTCAACTTAACCAGTGATGATCGTTTCCCATCAGGTGAAAGATATTGACCCTGCTCCGAGATATATGTTACTCCTACCTAAATTTGCCGATGTGCAAGAGCTCTCATGTCAAATCTACTAATGGTCAGCTTGCAGGTAAGACTAATTTTCTTTCCTTAAATATCATATTGATTAAATCTATATTCTCTTGTTTACATTGTAGTTGACATCTTTGGCTTAAAAGATTCAAAAATTAGATCTCTGAGAAATAATATAGTAAACTAAATCGACAATTTATTTTTAATGAAAGTCGTCCACATATCTTTGTTACAATCCTTATAAACTTAAATCAACTGAGCTATTAATATCAACTCCCAAGGTTAACTAAATAATATAAATTTGAGGAATTGAAAGGAAATTCTTTTGCATTATTTGCCAGCTCTGTAGGATTGACAGACAGCCAAACATGTTTCACCACAATACAGCTCCTGATAGCAAGCGGAATAAGAGTGTGGATTATAGGCAGTCTAGATTCTACAACACGCTACTATTGCCTTCTTCGAAAAAGTTCAATAAGTGTATCTAACATTCAAATAGTGAACTATACAACAGACTTGGCACTAACATTTGAATGTAATTCAAATAAACCTGCAGTGGAGACACTGATGGACGCGTTCAGTGACATCTCTCGGTACTCCATAAACACTCTGAATCTTCCAGTGGAAACAGCTTGGCGCCCATGGAACATCAGAGGCGAGGTATTGTATTATTATTTTGACCATTCTACACATCAAAATAATTAAAAGGTATAACTAGTTAATGTGGTGTCAACGCAGGTTGGAGGATATGTGGTTGGGTACAGGGAGTGACTTTCACCACTGTAAGAGGATCTGGGCATATGGTTCCTAGTAACCAACCGGAACGATCGCTTGTCATGATCTCGTCTTTCCTTCACGGGACACCTCTCCCTGCAGACAACAATTCAAAGCATAACCATTTCAACATTTTAATATCTTATCATCATAAATTTCAGCTACTTGTAATCAAGCTACAAGAATTTCCTGTTGAATCTAGGGGATATTGGTTGGGGTAACGTGGGATTACTAATTATGTCATCATAAATTATATCTATTATGTTATTACTGTTCACATTGCTGTCAAAATATAAGATTCCGAATCTTCATACCAATAATTAATACGTTGGTAATATTAGAGGTAATCTGATTACCTTCATTTTTTTAAGGTATTGTAAGATTTTCAGGGTAACATTTTCTTTACAATTCTATCCCTTATTAATAAATTTTAGGACAATAAGCCTTTTTTTTTAAATATTACACGAATGTTGTTTTATTATTTCACCCGATTAATTAACTTTTTGGACAAAATTACCTTTGAATTCAAAACAAATTGCAGCCCTCAAGCCACCCCCTCACCCACCTGTTTGCCGTTGCCGTTGGCAACCACCATCGGGCCAGCCTCGCCACGGAAAGGCGCACGAAAGGCTGAAATGACCGTCATGTGCCGATATGGTCATTTCCGGCTTAAGATCTGACCGAAAAGGTCAGATCATGACAAATCTAGCCGTTAAGGCCATCAATCTGACGTTGAATGCCAGGTCACGGATCTGCCCATTGATGGCCAGATCGTTTGATGGCTAGACGATGGCCATTAACACGCACTTTGACGGTCAGATTGATGGCTGTTAATGGCCACGCCATGTCTGTGGCGTAACAGCCATCGATCTAGCCGTTGATGGCCAGATCGCTGGCCGAAAATGGTCATACGACACAGAAGGCCATTTCCTGCCTTGTGTACCGTTAGGTTGCCGCAGTGGTGGGTTAGTGGGGGTGCTTTGTGATTTTCCAAACTTTTATTATGGGATGTTTTGCTAAGTTTTTAAATGCAGGGGGTTTATAATAATCAATATTAAAAAATATATTTTAATTAGTGGACAATTCAGTAATTTAAATAACATACCCCTATTTATCCTTCCAACCAAACATATTAAAAACATATCCGTAATTTATTCCAACTAACCAAACAATTTTCTTAAAGATTCCAGTAATCTCAAGTAATCTAACTTCAGTAATCCAAATTCCATTGAACCAATCGCACCTTTACATTACTAAGAATAGTAACCACGAAAAGAAATTATTAATGTGGCCATGAATGTATTTCAAGCCTGTTGTTCAATACCGGAAGATTCTCATAAGTTGTGCACATTGCACTATTCAGCCTCTGAAACATACATGGAAACATATGTAAGAATTTAACCCCAGTAATAAAACTATCTATTGAAGTTGACACATACGGAGACAATGGAAGTTTCAACTGAACCAAGTCATGCTTGTAAACGTAGTATAAAATCAAGTATAGACTGAATTAACATTAATAATATATTTCAAATCACAATTAAAAAATATATTTTTTGGACTCTCCATACTTATAATTGGTCAGTGAAGATTCAAATCTGCCTCCGCATACCGCTGTTCTTCCTGTCATTTCAAAAACAAAATTAATGCAAAAAGTGTGATTGAATAGGAAACACGCAATGGTTTCAAAATACATTAGTCAACCGTCTACAACTGTAAAGGTGAATAGACAATCACTATCACGACTGCAAAGTGCATGGTCCACACTGAACGAGCCATCTAAATTAAGGCAGAAACCTGATATTTACAGGTAAGGTTTAGGAGTTTCGTCTCAAGCTTCTTCAATCTGCGTTCATCTCTTCATCTTCATGTTTTCATCTTAGACAACCTTTATGTGGTGGGTCAATTTCAATGACTCAGCTATCCGTCAGCATCGTAGTGGAACTACTTTACCACCTATTCCTGTGGCCGTTTTCTCAATGATTCCCGACAATCATATTACTTTAGATCTCTTTTTACTATACAATATATAAAATTAAAGTTAGACAAATTTGTTCTTAGTCATCCTGTTCAGTGTCATTAAACAGCCTTACATCTTATTTCGCCATTTATATTTGAGTTTTTTTAAGTTAGAATCCTAAACCATTAACCAATATTATGCTGCACCCCACCTCGGCATTGATTTGTTGGTTGTTTTAGTCATGCAAGCAGTTCATTAGCATACTGCTATTATACAACAGAGATCAAGAATAATAAACAGAAAATTTGATAGTCTATGTGATACACAGGGCTGGATGCTCATCGCTTGGATATGGGGCCAGGAGAACGGGTCCTCTCCAAGAGTTAATGGAAATGGAACGACGCTGTACATAAATGAATATGCATGGAATAAGGGTATGGATTCAAACATATTTTTTGTTTACCAAAACGATTAAAGAAACATAACTAAATCTTATGGCAGTGGCAAATGTGATCTTCTGGGCCAACTTCAGCCTTCCTCAGTCTACAATCCTCCAACCGTAGAGACTTGAATGTAATTTAAGTATGTTTTTCTCGGCACTGGAAGATGTCATATATAGTAATTACTGAAATAATCCCTTACGTTTAAATCAACTCAACCGGATCCACTTTTCCACAGTTAAAATAGATCATGGATACATCCACTACTTACAGCATAACTTCCTCTTACGGGTTCTCACGTTGTTGAGATAAAGTCAAGGAAACCACACACACAAGCGCACACAGAGAGACAGAAACTCGTCATAACAATATAGCCACTAAGAGTACTAACAAAACACGGCCATGTTCGACTATATGGCTACCACTGAAGGACCACCAGGCATAAATCCTATCCAAACCGAAGTACGTCTTCTGGTAGGATAGAAAACAAACTTAAACATTAAAGATGTCAAAAAGAAAGGACTTTCCATTATAACTTCAAATGTACAGTGTATCTACATAACAGAATCCACAGAGATTAATCACAGCTCTACTCAACAAGACTTCCCTGGTCGTCAGCAATCAAGAAATTGCAATATAGCATGTCCTGATCCAGTAGTGAGTTGTATAATTATGTGAAATCATATTATATAAATACAATCAAAGAAAAAAATAACAAATAGAGAAGCTTTTTTTCGACAAGTCGTTTCAATAGCCTCTTTAGTGACCTCAAAAGAAAGCTATGCCAACGAGATAAATGTCTCCACAATGTCAAACATCTCAGAACCTTTCTGTTCTGCGCTCGCAAGTTTTCCTGTCATAATTAGCAAGTCACGCAAACCTCATTTGTAGATGTGCTACCCCAATCTTGCCTGATTTTTCCACGTCAGTAGCTGGAAGGAAACTAGAGATGAAAGGCTCAATAGTCCACTACGAAAGGAGTAATGACAATTTAACCACTGGGCAAGAATCATTATAAGTATCACCTGAATAACTTAAACTTCTAGATACGTTCATGTGCTCCCAAGGCTTCAAGGATGCTATCTACCCAACTGCCACCAAAAATATAAGGCGTCCACATCTGCAGTTAGTATATTGTAATATACTAAAGCCAAGTAGAAACACAAAAATTTATATCGGGATCGTTCAAATAATAATAAAAAGGCATCAGTTAAATGAGAATGAAGATTACCCTTCAAGTCCAGGATGTGTGGGTAGTAAACGTTCTCAGGCCTAATCTTTTTGAGTGAAGCAGTAGTCTCACAATACATGCAACTGAATGTCCACTGCCTAGATTCTGAAATAATTTTGACCCAGGAAGTTGCAACACAGGTTTTTAACAAAGTCAATGCAAAAATATTACCAAAAAGAATCAAGTATTTGGAAGAGAACTACCCCCATTGTAAAACTGCTGGTCATTTAGGGATCACAAAATGATGAAGAAATAAGAAATGCATGAGTTTCCATGAGCCTTTGTCTATCAAATCAAGGTTAATTACAGTTATAACCAGATTTACAGTATGTTCAAGTCATGATTCCTCATTGATGGATACAAAGCTTTTAATATAACTTAGTCCAGGATGGAAAATATTATATGTTACTACCACCACCTACTTACCGAACTGAGAAGGTGACTGGACAACCTCAAGGAGTGGATTTTGATCAATATGCAGGCTATGTAACAGTAGACCCCAAGGCTGGAAGAGCACTGTTCTATTATTTTGTAGAGTCACCGCATAATTCTTCCACCAATCCCCTGGTATTGTGGCTAAATGGAGGTAAACTATCCGAACATTATTTAATTATTGAATCATTTCTTTCCTAATTATATTACATTACTCCTTATAGTAAACACACAACAAGAAGGATATTGAACACTGGCCCTCGAGTCTTATCTCTCTTCATTTAATGTGATCTTCTGGGAGAATATCTTGTTTTTAGAGAGTGTCTTCTGTCCAGGGAAGAAAACTGTGCTAGTGATTTCACGAGTGTGTGTCACATAGAAAAGCGCAATGAAAATGAATGTCCATGTTAACCGTCTACAACTGTAAAGTTAAATAGAATAATCATTGATTCACGATATAACTTCCATTTGGCATTAGCCAACCTGATTGAGTATTCAATCTGACATTCTCTTGTCCACTACGGATGGCCCACTATTCAAAAAATCATCTAGCACTAATGCTTTCCTTAGAGAAAAACCATCTTCATTTAATGGATGCACCTTCCCCTGATCTCGTTATTATTCTTGAGCTGACCTATGTGGCCACATTCACAGCATCAGTATCATGGATGGTCCACCAGCCACTGAACAAACCATCAAGTCCGGCAAATTCTAGGTAAACCCAATAGCATTTAGACTGTTCTCATCTCCGGTGATTACTCTATAATCTTTGGATTAACTTTATTCTGCTATCTGTTGGATATCAATCATGCCACCACCATTGTACAAATAAATCCCAATTGCAACAAAAGCAAGAATTTTCTCCCACAACATTATTGCTCCCTCCCCGCCTCGAACTTGGACAATAGCTAGCACATGCTGCCATTACAGATCCCATATTAAAAATAAGAGTAAACGACTTTTTCCTACCCAAGGTTTCGCCTAATGACACTTTCCCACCCGCCAAGTTTTATAATGACATTCCTCTTCCCCCCGCCCCCCGGCGCTACAATTTGTCCGTTAATTTTAACTACAGAAGGATATAATGATAATTTCAAAAAAATAGTATAATTATGTCATTTACCCTCTTCTTCTTGTCTCTTCCCTCTTTCTTTTCTTTTTTTTCTTCCCTTCCCTCTCTCTTGAACTTGTAATCATAGCAAATTCTTCATCATCTTCGCTCTCCTCTTCCTCATCATCACTCTCATCTTTTGTAGAAGCTTTGAGAGCCCCTGTTCTTGGATCATCCTCTTCTTCTCCATTCTTCATGGTAAGCTCATGGGTCATTAGAGAACCGAAGAGTTCTTCTAGAGGTAGTCTTGCGAGGTCTTTAGCTTTTTGAATGGTCTAGCTTCCCCTGATCTAGGAAGAGATCTTAGAATCTTCCTCACTAGCTCACCGTTGGAGTCAGATTTACAAGATTTCAACGCATTGATGATATCGGTGAAGCGAACATTTGTGTGATTGATTCATCACCCCTGAGGCTGAGCTTAAACCTTATGTGTCTGTGTCGTCTCGCTGAGCAGCAACAAAATAAAATAGTTTAATACTAGTAAAAATGATCAAAAAGAAAACCGAAATGAAGTAGGAAACTACGGCTCGAAAGCAAGAAACTAGGGAAAAGCAACGAGAAGAAAAGAAGATGCCTATTATCCCTATTGCCGAGAGAGAAGAAAAGGAGCTATTTGCACCTTGGATCGAACAGAGTGATCGAAAGATCCCCCTTGGTGCGCCAGGCCACCAGTTCTTGCGAGCGAACTCCCAAACAAGAGGACAGGTAGAAGAGGGCGATGAAGCTTTCCTCGATTAAGTCGAGCCAACATATTTGAGAACCATGATGAGATGGACTGGTGGCCGTCAACGGTTTTGATAACCGCCAGCACCAGTTGGCCGATTGCACTTTTTTTTTTTTCAAAATTTTATTTATTTATAAAAATATTTTAATATTTAAAAGAAGAGAAAATAAAAATAAAAATAAAATGAATTTACTATTCTATCCTTCTGCAGTTAAAACTAATGGAAAAATTGTGACGGTGGGTGCGAAAATGTCATTATGAAACTTGACGGGTGCGAAAGTGTCATTAGCCCAAACCTTGGGTGGGTAAAATAAGAAAAAGAGGAACACTGTAAAATTGATAGTTTCTGTGATGTACAGGGCCAGGTTGCTCATCTCTTGCATATGGAGCCATGGAAGAACTGGGTCCTTTCAGAGTTAACAGTGATGGAAAGACCCTGTTCAGAAATGAATATGCATGGAACAACGGTATGGATACTTTAAAAAAAAAAAAAAAAAAATTCTTTACTAAAAACCATCATACATACATATCTAAAAAGAAGGTCAAAAAATTTGCAGTGGCAAATGTGATCTTCTTGGAGTCCCCCGCAGGAGTGGGGTTCTCATATTCAAACACTAGTTCAGACTACGCCAACGCCGGTGACAAGAGCACCGCTGAGGATGCTTATACTTTCCTTGTAAACTGGCTGGAGAGGTTTCCCCAATATAAAACCCGTGATTTCTTCATAGCTGGTGAGAGCTATGCTGGTCATTATGTTCCTCAGCTGGCAAATACCATTCTCTTGAGGAACAACAACACGAAGAACACAAAAAAAACTATCATCAACCTCAAAGGGATTGCCGTAAGTTAACTGTGCTAATATTTTGATAAATATGATATGCAAAAGTAAGTTGAAGACTGATACCAACATTTCAATCAATAATGCAGATTGGGAATGCTTGGATAGATGATAATACGGGCAACAAAGGAATGTACAATTATTTCTGGACCCATGCATTAAATTCTGATGAAACCAACGCAGGGATTAACAAATACTGTGATTTTGTTGCTGGTAATTTTTCAAATACATGTTTAAAGTATCAAAACCAAGCAGATGACGAGATTGGGAACATAGATATATACAACATCTACTATCCACTTTGCCAGTCAAAAGCAACTGCTCCAGCATCAAAAGGTGGCTCATCATCTGGTTCCGTAAGTGTTTGTACTCGTAACAACATTGATATTTCGACTCAAATTTCGTATTTACCTATAATTTAAACATTAATTCCAAGGCTCTAGTAAATTTCATGGATTAAACCTAAATGGCATAATATCTATACTCCAAAAGTATATGTTCACCAATCAGGATAAAAGAATAGTATAGAAAACGAGTTTTGATTATTTTGTCAACTTAACCAGTGATGATCGTCTTCCATCAGGTGAAAGATATTGACCCCTGCTCCGAGATATATGTTAACTCCTACCTAAATCTTGCCGATGTGCAAAGAGCTCTGCATGTCAAATCTACTAATTGGTCAGCTTGCAGGTAAGACTAATTTTCTTTCCTTTAAATATCATATTTGATTAAACCTATTATTCTCTTGATTTACATTGTAGTTGGACATCTTTGGGCTCAAAAGATTCAAAAATTAGATCCTTCTGAGAAATAATTATATGCAAACTAAATCGACAATTTATTTTTCAAATGAAAGTCGTCCACATTATCTTTTGTACAATCCTTATAAACTTAAATCAACTGAGCTATTAATATCAACTCCCAAGGTTAACTAAATAATATAAATTTGAGGAATTGAAAGGAAATTTCTTTTGCATTATTTGCCAGCTCTGTAGGATGGACAGACAGCCCAACAACTGTTCTACCCACAATACAGCTCCTGATAGCAAGCGGAATAAGAGTGTGGATATATAGGTAAGTCTAGATTCTACAACAGCTTCTTCGAAAAAGTTCACATAATGTTGCATCTAACATTCAAATAGTGAACCTATACAACAGACTTGGCACTAACATTTGAATGTAATTCAAAATAAACCTGCAGTGGAGACACTGATGGACGCGTTCCAGTGACATCCTCTCGGTACTCCATAAACACTCTGAATCTTCCAGTGGAAACAGCTTGGCGCCCATGGAACATCAGAGGCGAGGTATTGTATTATTATTTTGACCATTCGTACACATCAAAATAATTAAAAGGTATCACTAGTTAATGTGGTGGTCAACGCAGGTTGGAGGATATGTGGTTGGGTACAAGGGAGTGACGTTCGCCACTGTAAGAGGATCTGGGCATATGGTTCCTAGTAACCAACCGGAACGATCGCTTGTCATGATCTCGTCTTTCCTTCAGGGGACACCTCTCCCTGCAGAGAACAATTCAAAGCCATAATCCCATTTCAACATTTTAATTATCTTATCATTATAAATTTCAGCTACTTGTAATCAAGCCATAAAAGACATTTCCTGTTGAATTTTAGGGGATATTTGGTTGGAGGTAACGTGGGATTACATAAATTATGTCATCTTATATTACTTGACAACCAAATTTCGATAATCTTCAAATGCCAATAGTAGTTACCATTGGTAATATTGAAAGTAATCTGATTACCTTTATTTTTTACCAGGGTAATATTTTTTTTTTATAATTCTATCTCTTATTAATAAAATTTTAAGATAATAATGCCCTTATTTTTAAATTTATTTACATGAATGTTGCTTTTATTATTTCACCCCAATTAATTAACTTTTTTGACAAAATTACCTTTGAATTCTAAACAAATTGCAGCCCACCCAAACCACCAACCCCACCCACCTGTTGCTGCTTGCCGTTGGCAACCACCGCCATGGCCAGCCGCCACCGTCGAAAAGGCCCACGGAAGGCCGGAAATGGCCATTGTGCACCGATATGGCCATTTTCGACCAGAGATCTGGTTGAAAATGGTCATATCGTGACAAATTTGGCTGTTAACAGCCATCAATCTAGCCGTTGATTGCCAGATCAACAGATCTAGCCATTGATGGCTAGATTGATGGCCATTAACAGCCACTTTGGCGGTCAGATTGATGGCTGTTAACGGCCACGCCACATCTGTGGCCATTAACGGCCATCGATCTAGCCGTTGACAGCCAGATCTGTCGCGATCTGGCCATTTTCGGCCAGATCGTTGGCCGAAAATGGCCATACGACGCACGGAGGCCATTTCCTATCTTCCGTGCGCCGTTAGGTTGCCGACAGTGGTGGCTAGCTTGGTGGGGGTGTTTTGTTGATTTTCCAAACTTTTATTATGGGGTTATTTTTGCTAAGTTTTTAAATGCAGGGGGTTTATAATAATCCAAATAATAATCAATATTAAAAAAGAATATAATAATAATATTTAATTAGAAGACAATTCAGTAATTTAATTAACATACCCACCAATTTATTCTTCCCAACCAAACATATTAATAAAACATACCCACTAATTTATTCCAACTAACCAAATATATTTTCTTAAAGATTTCCAATAATTTTTAAGATAATCTAACTTTCTAGTAATCCAACATTCTTTGAACCAAACTCACCCTTACATTACTGAGAATAGTAACCACGAAAAAGAAATTATTAATGTAGCCTATGAATGTATTTCAAGGCTGTTGCTTCAGATACCGGAAGATTTCTCATAAGTTGTAGCACATGTACTATTCAGCCTCTTGACCTTCCCCTGAACATACATGGAAACATATGTAAGAATTTAACCCCAGTAATAAAACTATCTATTGAAGTATGACAATTGACACATACGGATGACAACGGAAGTTTCAACTGAACCAAGTCATGCTTGTAAACGTAGTATAAAAATTCAAGTATAGACTGAATTAACATATAATAAATATATTTTCAAATCACAATTAAAAAATATATTTTTTTGGACTCTTTCCATACTTTATAATTGGTCAGTCAAGATTCAAATCCTGCCTCCTGCATACCGCTGTTTCTTCCTGTCATTTCAAAAACAAAATATAATGCAAAAAGTGTGATTGGAATAGGAAAACAGCAATGTCGTTTCAAAATACATTAAGTCAACCGTCTACAACTGTAAAGGTGAATAGACAATCACTATCACGACTGCAAAGTGCAATGGTCCACCACTGAACGAGCCATCTAAATTAAGGCAGAAACCTGATTACATTTACAGGTTAAGATTTAGGAGTTTCGTCTCAAGCTTTCTCAATCTGCGTTCATCTCTTCATCTTCATGTTTTCATCTTAGACAACCTTTATGTGGTGGGGTCAATTTCAATGACTCGGCTATCTGTCAGCATCGTTAGTGGAACTACTTTACCACGTATTCCTGAGGCCGTTTTCTCAATGATTCCCGACAATCATATTACTTTAGATCTCTTTTTACATATACAATATATAAAATTACGTCACTTAAAGTTAGACAAAATTTGTTCTTAGTCATCCTGTTCAGTGTCATTAAACAGCATTACATCTTATTTCGCCATTTATATTTGAGTTTTTTTAAGTTAGAATCCTAAACCATTAACCAATTATTATTGCTGCACCCCCACCTCGGGCATTGATTTGTTGGTTGTTTTATGTCATTCCAAGCAGTTCATTAGCATACTGCTATTATACAACAGAGATCAAGAATAATAAACAGAAAATTTGATAGTCTATGTGATACACAGGGACTGGATGCTCATCGCTTGGATATGGGGCCACGGAAGAACTGGGTCCTCTCTAAGAGTTAATGGAAATGGAACGACGCTGTACAGAAATGAATATGCATGGAATAAGGGTATGGATTCAAACGTATTTTTATGTTTACCAAAACGATTAAAGAAACATAACTAAATCTACATGACAGTGGCAAATGTGATCTTCTGGGCCAACTTCAGCCTTCCTCGTAGTCCTACAATCCTACAAACCCGTAGAGCACTTGAATGTAATATAAGTCTGTTGTTCTCAGCACTGGAAGATGTCATAAATCATAATTACTGAAATAATCCCTTACGTTTAGATCAACTCAACCAGGATCCACTTTTCCACAGTTAAAATACATCATGGATACATCCACTACTTACAGCATAACTTCCTATTACGGGTTCCCACGTTGTTGAGATAGAGACAAGGAAACCACACACACAAGCGCACACAGAGAGACAGAAACTCGTAATAACAATAAAGCCATTATAGCCACTAAAAGTACTAACAAAACACGGCCATGTTCGACTATATGGCTCACCACTGAAGGACCACCAGGCATAATATCCTATCCAAACCTGAAAGTACGTCCTTCTGGTAGAATAGAAAACAAACTTAAACATTAAAGATGTCAAAAAGAAAGGACTCTCCATTATAACTTCAAATGTACAGTAGTATCGTACAATAACAGAATCCACAGAGATTAATCACAGCTCTACTCCTAACAAGACTTCCCCTGGTCGTCAGCAATTCAAGAAATTGCGATATAGCAATAGTCCTGATCCAGTCAGTGAGTTGTATAATTATGTGAAATCATATATATAAATACAATCAAAGAAAAAAATAAACAAATAGAGAAGCTTTTTTTCGACAAGTCGTTTGAATAGCCTCTTTAGTGACCTCAAAAGAAAGCTATGCCAACGAGATATAATGTCTCCACAATGTCAAACATCTCAGAACCTTTCTGTTCTGCCGCTCGCAAGTTTTCCTGTCATAATTATGCAAGTCACGCAAACCTCATTTGTAGATGTGCTACCCCAATCTTGCCTGATTTTTCCACGTCAGTAAGCTGGAAGGAAACTAGAGATGAAAGGCTCAATAGTCCACTACGAAAGGAGATAATGACAATTTTTTAACCACTGGGCAAGAAATCATTATAAGTATCACCTGAATAACTTAAACGTCTAGATACGTTCATGTGCTCCCAAGGCTTCAAGGATGCTATCTACCCAACTGCCACCAAAAATATAAGGTGTCCACATCTGCAGTTAGTATATTGTAATATACTAAAGCGCAAGTAGAACACAAAAATTTATATCGGTGATCGTTCAAATAATATATTAAAAAGGCATCAGTTAAATGAGAATGAAGATTACCCTTCAAGTCCAGGATGTGTTGGGTAGTAAACGTTTCTCAGGCCTAATCTTTTTGCAGCTGAAGCAGTAGTCTCACCAATACATGCAACTGAATTGCTCCACTGCTCAGATTCTGAAATAATTTTGACCCAGGAACTGTTGCAACACAGGTTTTTAACAAAGTCAATGCAAAAATATTACCAAAAAGAATCAAGTATTTGGAAGAGAACTACCCCCATTGTAAAACTGCTGGTCATTTAGGGATCACAAAATGATGAAGAAATAAGAAATGCATGAGTTTCCATGAGCCTTTGTCTATCAAAAATCAAGGTTAATTACAGTGATACCCAGATTTACTTAGTATGTTCAAGTCATGAATTTCCTCATTGATGGATACAAAAGCTTTTAATATAACTTTAGTCTAGGATGGAAAATATTATATGTTACTACCACCAACTACTTACCGAACTGCAGAAGGTGAAGCAACTGCAACAACTGGGGTAGAAAGTGCCTGCTTCAGAACAGTCTGGTCAACATGATGAACAGGTTCCTGAAAAAAATTATAAGGTGGCTGCTAAGTTAGAGTTCTAGGGCTATATTGATAATCAAACCAAGCACATCAAGACTCTTATAATTATAAAAATCCCATGCGTAGGAGACCATAACCAGTAATACATCATCATGTTCGCCAAACAAACCATTTCAAACAAGACACCAAGGAAAATTATTAAGGTACGTCTGAATACCAGTCTGCAACAGAGAGAATTAGCCTCTCAGCAATAATCATCATTTGGCCACCTTACACCCATTTAACATATAAATTTCTTTGATTTATTCAGGAACGCAACATGAAGATAAAAAGTCATGTGACGTACAACCATCGTAAAGACAAGAAGAAAATCACTCAAAGCAAAAACCAATTTATATCACTCAAAGCAAAAACCAATTTATATCACTCATAGGAGGAAATGAAACTATGTACCAGCATTGCAGTACTAACCGTTGTGTATGTATTCAGCCTCACAACCTCAAATCCACGATTGGATAAGCCTTCTTCTGAAACATACATGGAAAATAGATGTTCAAAACAATTAGAAGTATGATACATAAGGAGTCAAAGTATGAAACTTTTTACCAAACATATTTTCTTTTGTAACATTAGAAATTATAGAAGCTCACTTATAGTATAAACTTATGAATTACCACATAAATCAAACATTTTCTCTTAACATATATTGACAAAATGCCCTGGCATCACAGCCATAATATGCAAACAATTTATTGATGTGTTACCAAAACTTCAACCAAAAGTTTAAATGAACCACAAATTCTCCATATAACAAAGCAAAAATGAATCCTGTAATTAATTAAAACCAGTTATTAGCCGTTAACAAACTGAACAAAGTCAGGATTATAACCACAGTTCCAAGGAAAAGGTAAAAGAATCACTGTAGCATGAACCAACCAGATTAAGTACCTCATGGTGAATAAGTAACAACTCAAGGTGTAGCAATTCTTAAATTAATTAGTGCCAAAGCAGGAAAAAAGAAAAAGAAAAGAAAAGCACATCCTTCAAAAGGAAAGCATACAACCAGAACTTTTCACATACCAATCTCATTGCTAGCTTTTTCAGAAGCAGGATACAAGACAGTGCATCTTTCATTCCCATTCTTTGGAAGCTCTGAAGCCAAAACTTTTCCTGTAGCTGCAGGGAGGAACAATTTACCCCAAAAGGTTAAAATCATCTTCAGAAGCTATTAGAAACCAAACAGTGATGTGAAAAAAGCAATCTACAACCATTTACTAAGAAACCCCGGAATCATTGGTTGGATATTATGTAGCAACTGATATCCTTTTTTGCATAAACATAAAAAACCGATCTGGTTATGATAGGAACCTACTCCAACAACTCAAACAATTGGGCTAGACAATGAGCTTTTGTGGGCTTGGGTAGAACTCTCTTTAGAAAACCAGCTTGCCAAGGGAAGGCACCCAAGCCCTTTATAACTCATATGCCCACCTTTCTCCCTTCCAATGTGAGATCCTAACATTCTACCACGCTTCCACAACCGACGTCCATGTCGGCCTCTTTATCCCTGTCGACTTCTTTACCCCTTGGGTGACTTTGCGGATCCCCTTACCTTGGGCCGATCCCCTCTCCTTCGAGGTAGCAGCCTAGGCCCAAGGTAAATCTGACACACATGTGGCACCACGTAGGCACAGGATCATGCTCTAATACCAATTGATAGGAACCCACTCCAACAACTCAAACAATTGGGTTGGGCAATGGGCCTTTTTTGGGCTTGGGTAGAACTCTCCTTGGAAGACCGACTTGCCAAGGGAGGGCGCCCAAGGCCTTTATAACCCACATGCCCACCCTTTTCCCGTCCAATGCGGGATCCTAACATTCCACCACGCTTTTACAATCGACGTCCACGTCAGCCTTTTTACCCCTTGGGTGATTTCGCAGATCCCCCTACCTCGGGCCAATCGAAAGTCATCAATCGTTGCTTGGAAACATACCTCTGGTGCTTTGTTGGCACCCAGCCCCGACAGTGGCCAAGATGGATTTCATGGGCTGAATTTGGTTTAACACTACGTTTAGCAGCTCCATTGGCATGACGCCCTTCAAAGCACTATATGGGCACGATCTCCCGATCATCCTTAAGTATTCCGACCACAATTCAGCGGTTGAGGAAGTGGATCAGGTAATACTTGACAGAAACAATATTCTCCAGGAATTAAAAGAAAATCTGGTCAAAGCTCAAGGCTGAATGAAGCATTTTGCGGATGCAAAACGGAGGGAACTCAGTTTTGAAGTGCGGGATTCGATTTATCTCAAGCTACAACCTTACCGTTTTTGCTCTTTGGTTCGACGATACAATGAGGAATTGAGCCCCAGGTACTACAAACCCTTTGAGATTATTGAGAAAATTGGTTCCATAGCTCACCAATTGCAACTACCCTCCACTGCCCGAATTCACAATGTCTTTCATGTGTCCCAACTTAAGAAGACAACCTTCCCAACTTCAAATGTTCAATAGCTTCCAACTGCTCTTAATGAAGATTTAACTTTGGCTATTAAGCCTGGGGCAGTGCTTAAGCAGAGAAAGTTACTAAATGGTATAAGTGATGTATTAGCCAAAGTATGAAAACACTTGGGAAGATTTCTCCACTCTCAATCTACAGTTTCCAGCTTTTCACCTTGAGGACAAGACGGCTCTCCTTGTTGGTTGGGGGGTGGTGGGGGTGGGGTGTTTGGGGTTGTAATGATGAGACCACAAACATATTGGTGTATGGGAGAAGAAATAAAGGGGTGAGGAGAGGTTGAAGGATGATTTGGTCAGGCTTTATGCATATTTGGGAGTGTGGTACCAGGTTTGTGGGAGAGTGACAAGTGGCAAGTGATGATTTGAGTAAGGCTGAATTCTGTTATGGCGAGTGAGTAAGCAGCATAAAAAGAAATGTCAGAGAATTGGAGGGATTCATTGAGAAAAGTTAAAAGGGAAAAAGGGGTTGGGGAGGTGCGGGCTCTTGAAGTCCAGTTGGGTTCTCTTGTTCTTCTACTGCTGTTAATGGTTGCTTTATTTTTTCCATTTGTCAAGCTTGATTGTAGTGAAAACGATTATCATTAGATCAGTGTTGTTGCTGGTTTATGTTTATATAAATATCGAAGTTATTCAGTATCTCTTGTGTGTTGGAATTGCTGTGTTGTGATTAAATTGCTTTGGTGATTGGAAGTTCTGTGACGGTGTTCTGAGGAGGTTAAGGAGTGTTCTGGTTTTGGTTTTGTGGAAGATTATTGATGGGAAATTCTGGGTTCCTATCAGATTATAAGTCCACCCAATGACTTGATATAATAAACAGTAGATAACATGTTAATGATGCTCAAATCACAAGTAATTCACCACAATACTTTCAAAGAGGAAAAAGAAAAACAGGGAAAAATAAATTACATATATATACACATATATAGCTAAACTTCCCTTTCTTTATACAGAAAGTATGTTATTTACTACAACAGTTCGAGGAGAAAAACAATGAAAAAGAAATAATTAAAGTTGTAATTTCCATTTCTTTGGACATGAATGTATGTCTCACTAGATGAAGTTCAAAACTATCAGCCAATGTGCCAAACGAAAGTATTTGTATCTAGATTTAAAATCTACAGACCCATAATTTTAAGAAAAGAAATATGCAAAGCAACAAGACCTTTTCGCTAGAAAGTTGACAGTTTATAGCACGCAACTATTCTACTCTTTCATTTATTATTATGTTCAAGTATTGAAAACACTTGCCAAAGACTTAACTCTTAAACAGCTACAAGGTTTTAAAATGCGTTTTCTTATTCTCAAGTCTCCTTAAATACTAAATGATGCATAATAGGCAAAAATGTAGGGCAATAAAAAATTCATCAACATTCCCACACATGTGTACATGCATGAATACCTTTTGATGGTGTAAAAGCCACATCGAGCGAATGCTTTGACAATAGCCTTACTTGGTCAAAAATACTAGCTGTACCAGCTCCCACAACACCAACCTTGACATTTGGGGTACCAGCCTCCCTATAATTCATAATTTAGGCATAGATTGTTAACTGTAGATAATCAAAGAAAGCAAACAAACACACACACACACACACACACACAAAAAGCGCATCATTATTATGAAACAACATAATCAGCTCCACTTATTCAATCCTTATGTAGTCAATTCAGTCGATAAAGTTAAACAGCTTTCAGATGATAAAATGTTTTGCCACTTCGGAAGAAACATAAATCTGAGGTCCAGTAAAATATGTTCAACTCATGCATAACTACAACAGAAGCAGTTGAAGCATGCAGATAAATTATAAACATCCTAAAATGAACTAGGACATAAGCATGGTAATAAGAAAACACCCGAGTCGGCAGAAATTAAAGCACACTCAAATTTCAAGTCATATATGAGCGTTGACTATCTTGACAAAAAAATAAAAAATAGAACACATCAAAACATCTTAGTAAATTGCATAAAACATGTAACATATACGAAGTGTAAAATGTCCAGCCAATAAGTTTTAAACCTTACTTCCATGCCTCTATAAAGACAGAACCCGCTTCAGGCGAAGTTATGATGATCCAGTCGAATGCAGCATCTGCTGCCCATCAGAAAAGTACAATAAGAAGAAGGGCAAAAGAATTTATTCATATGCTAGCTGTCTTGGACCATAAGATAATAAATATCACACAAGAATTCTCATCACTAAAATGAAAAAGTAATTCTACCATGCAGAACATCCACTTCAGTAAAATTAGGCTGGTGAGAAGGATGTGGTACACAAGAGAGCTATACTCAACAGTCTCACAAACTACGAAAATAGACACATTGAACATATCTCCTCACATTATATGGGTTAGGTAGACTCTCTAGAACTACAAATGGCCCTCGTATAGGAATACCTGGCACATGCACGAAAGAACCATTCCATAGTACTATCAAGCCAAATGAAAAGTTAGAGAACTTGTAATTTTCTGTTTCCATTAGAAGGTAAGCAGAGAACTAACCACTTAATACAGAAGATAGTCTACCCAAATCAGGCCCCGGTGCATGCTGGATAAGTGGAAGCTCCAAACAATTGATCCCATGCTTTGCCTGTATCCAGAAACAAAAATTCCATCTCAGCACCATCACCTATTGAAAGTGTACAGCCAGAGGAAAATCCTCCCCAGCATATTCTTTTGTCTTGAATAAATCAATGCTGCCTGGTGCCTTGGCCATATAATCCAGTTTCATTATAAGTATTTGCATAAGTGAAAGTGTAAGTGGGCCACAAGACAACAAGAATCAACAATACAAGTTTTTACTAACAATGCAACATGTTACACATAAAAAATTCTCATACAAATTTGTAAAAACAAGACACTGCACTACACACATTAGAATAATAAAATATGTACTTTCAAATCTTGTACATTACTTCATGTGCTCATCAGGCCACAGCCAAAGACAAAAAAAAGATAATGAACAACAGAAAATAAATTTTTTTATTACACCGGAAGGAAAGAAGGATTACAAACAGGTGGTGCTTGTTTGTGACACTGGTGGAGTGTGACAAAACTGACATTGCGAAGAAAAAGCAACAGATCAGCATTGAGCACACATAATTTCAGAGGGGACGGAAACCGCTACCAAAAGTAAGTATGGAGCATAGTAGAAACAACCACGGCAGTAAGTACGGAGTATAGTAGAAACAACCATGGTAGTTACGAAACAACACAGATTATGTTCTAATGAAGTTATCATATGAAGCTTAACAAAGCCACCTTTAAGTATTGCAAAATAAATTAATATGCACACTGAGAAAGAGAAAGATTTTAGTTAACATGTCCTTTAATAGCAAAGGATTCTAGACAATTATATTTAAATAAGGATATAATGGGAACCATCTAGTTCAACTGGTTCGATTCTTGGGGTATTCAAAAGATCTTAAAATCAAATCCTGCTCATTATAGGTTTAGGAGAAATTTAGCTTATATATGTACAGTTTCAAAAATAAAATAAAATAAAATAACAGAAAGAAAAATGAGGCCATTTCTGAAATGCTACTCATTACATACCAACAGAATATACCAGCAACAGGTTTCATGTGATCACATGCCATTACTCTTAGTGGTGACTCATTTTATTTTATTTTAATCAATTATATTTAAGATAGTAAATGCATGCCTTCAAACTTAGGGAAAGAAATTCACTAGCAAATAATGGAAAAATGGTTAGTCAATCAAAAGAAAAGTTTGGTAAAAAAACTTTAACTATCTACAGAATCATAAGATTTATTTATCTATTTTTCCATATTGATTTCAAAATGACGCTTGTTTTATTATTATTATTACATTTTTGAAATAAAAAAATTCTAGTTCACTTTAAAATCTACACAATTACTACATTTTTTTTTTTTTTCAACAAGAGGCGACCTCAAACTCAGATAAAATCCCTACTACATTGAAAGAAAACACAAAAAAAAAAAAAAAAAAAAAAAGTCGTAGAAATACTAAGGAAAACGTAGAGAAATACAAAGAAAAACGTATGGAGTAAAACAATACAGAAATAGACAACGTTCGTTTCAGCATTTGATCAAACACTTCACAAATAAATTTATAGTCCAAAATGGCAATAAAAAGAAAAAAGCAAACAATTCCCGAAGCTATACAACATAGACAGAAGCTAGAAGATATTCAAAGTTTAAATCTAGGCTAGAAAAACAAAGTGAAACAAAGCTGCGGGTAGTAGCGTTACAGGAAACGAAAAGAGACAATGTATGATAATTACAGTACTCGAAGAAACAGCAAAACGCATCATAAGATAGAATAGAATGTGTACCAGAGCTTTGATGAGCTTTCCATTTTTGCCAAGTTCTCTGGTTACGACGACTTTCGGATTCGAGTCGCAAGCGGAAGTAGAAGTAGAATCAGAAGCTTGAATTCTGTTTAACTGAAAAATGAGTCGGCTGTGATTGTGAAGTCGCAGACGAGAAGCAATAGCGGTAGGTGTCGAAGGAGGGGAGAGAGGGAAGAGAGAGACTTGTGCCATTGAAACGTGTTGGCCCAAGAGAAGTCGAAAGGCCGCCGGGCCAGCTGTTACCAAATTAAGTACATAACCCTTAATAATTAATTATTTTCTATTTATAAAATATCTACCAAATATCAATAGAAAAGCATAAATAATAATAATAATAATAATAATGGTTAGATTGGATGAAACGGTTTAAGAAGCGGCGACCCAAAAGGTAACAGTAGGTACACCTGTAGAAGCTACTGGAAGCCACGTGGATGCTTTGTATGACCTTATCATTTGCTTACCTCCATGGGAGTATCAACCATGTGCATCCACCATCACAGACCGGTTTATTTTAATTTTATCTTTCTAATTAAGAGTTGTAATCAAGTGGACCACCGTCTCTAAATTACATTAGATTTCTGTTTGATTATCACGTACGTAAAATTTGTCAGATAATCTAATGATGATTAAGGACTCGGTAAGAGTTGTTGAGATTATTATTCTTTGCTTCCCATCTAGCGAACCCAACTCTAGGGTGCTGTGCGCCCCTTGGGTCCAACAGAACCGACAATGCCGTAATGAGTGCCTAAAAGTTGTGAGATATGTTTGTGTTCTTCCTAGTCTATAATCCCTCATGGACTTCTTAAATCCTACCGTTGATATGAATGGCTTTAATTTCCATCCAAAATCACATGGCAGCTCCCGGATTGTCAGGGCGCAGATTACGTTACCTAATTTTATGAGGGACCTTATTGCTCATTTGATGTTCATTTCGGGGACATTGATTTTGTTTAATATTTTGAGTCATTTTAAGACGCGAATATAGGCCTCGTCCTGGGGGCTGGGGGCCTGTGGCTAAATAGGACCAATTGCATCGTAGATTTCATAGCCCTCATGGTCGTAATGATTATAGTTGCACTGAACACGAGTAATCTACTCCATTGCTTTTACAAACTGATTATCACAAGGATTATTTTAAATAAAACTTATAATCGGGAATCAAATTGGTTTGGTTTTGTAAATAACACGATACCGTATATGCTGAACCCATTGGAACTGAAGGAATTTACTTGTATATGTGTATCTCGTATTGACTCGGTCCAATTTAAGTAATTTAAACTCAACTGGCAACTAATATAATCTCACATCATATTAACTCAGTACAATTTAACTAACTTAAATTCCTGGAGCTACACAACATCTAATATTAGAAATTACTTTAATGTGATGCCCTTTACATTACAAAAAGGTTATTAAGATCAGTGTTCTAAAACTTGGATCGGACCGATAGGCTTGACCAATCAGACCGAGAATTAGCCCCGTCTTTGGTACACTCAAAACTCGGTTTTAGCTTATAGTCCGGATTGGACCAATTTTGGATTGGCATAATAGTAACGAACCGTCAATCCGACCGATCCAATAGTTAAACCGTGTCACTAAATCCCTAATTTTGGTAGCTTTCGATGCCAACCATTGCACCTGACATCACCATCAGCATCATCTTCATCTCCACATCAAAACCTCCACCATCTTGTACTCCGATTGGTCACCAATCGTCATCATCACCACCTGACTACTTTGCGGTTTCTCGCCTAGATCACAGTGGTGTGTTTACTAGATTTCTAACCTGTAGAGACTAATGCGTAATTTTGCAAAGAAATGTTTGCTAGTTTCAAACATGCTGGACATACTGATGTTAGATTGCGCGACTGGAGAGTCGACCTCTTGATCGAGTCAAGAGACAGTCCGGATTTCAGAACATTGATTAAGATATAACAAAACAAAGTTGTACAACTGTAAAAACGTGGCCCCTTTCATATCAAGGGATTTATAACAAAGAATCTGTTTATTATTTATTGGAGAGGATTACTTGATAAGAATCTGTTTATATTTAATGTTGAGAGGATTAGGTAAAGCCATTCTACCCGGATTCACGCAATCAGGTAACATCAGCAAGACACAAATTTCCCAGTTTAAGTAATAGAGGTAGGAGACCGCTATATATTTTTAAGACAAAAGTTTACTAAAATACGGATTATGAAAATGCTGACCAACGAATCACTCCCAAATACCGCAAGCACGCAACGATACCACAACTTTAGATCAAACCCAATGACACACTCTCCATCCACAGAGCACACATTGCAAGATCATATATTCCAACAATAAGTTTCTCATTAACTCCCTTAGTTCTAAACAAATAATAAATCCAATCCCTAGAAAACTACCTCAGGTTGTCAAAATTCAGTTCCGCTCCAAAACGGAAGGGATTTTATAACAATTCTACATAACCAAGAGGACTTCAAAGAAATCAGGCAGATTTGCCTTTTCTAGCGTGATAACATTTGATTATAGCAGCTACACATTCTCATTCAGTTCCTTCAGCTTACTTGTTGCTGGTGACTGCCATAAACAGGGTAGGCCCCGTAGCCTGGGGCTGCTGCAGCATACATGCTTGGATCATGTGGTGGAGGTAGAGCATAGCCATAACCATCATAGACCTGCCCTCCATAATATGCACCACCCCATTGGTTCCCGTAATCTCCTCTAAACTGTTAAACCACAAATATTCTAGTTATTGAACAACTCGTAACAAAATATAATACCATACCAACTCAATTTGATAGCTCAATTGTTTTCTGATGCTCAGTTCAGTATTCATCAAAAAAAATTCTTTCCAGATTTCAAATAGTATTCACTGGTATACGATTTAGCACAATGCTTATTCAATTTTAAGAAATGCTTGGTAGTAAATGGGGGAGAGACATGCCTGCTTATTAGCTGGATTGCGGCCCCAAGAAAGACGCACTGTTTGCTTGCCAATTACCGTCCCATTCAATTTTTGCAATGCTTCCTCAGCATAATCTCTGTTAAGAAAGATCAAAAGTAACTGAGCGATTGAAACATGAACTAGAGTAAAGATAAATTATTACTTTGTTTACCAATATGCCACAGGAAAATACAACCAGAAACTTCACCTGTTGGCAAATTGTACAAACCCACATCCTTTTCCAACTGGTATTTTAACAGAGACTATTTCACCATACTGAGAAAAAGGTTGTCTGAGATCTTCATCAGTGACATTAGGGTCAAGCCCTCCAACAAATATCTATAACAAAACAAGGATTAGCCAAAGTGCTGGTCCTTATCCAAAAAACTAGATGAAAGAGGTATGAAACTCACTGTTGTATTTGAAGAATCCCCATCAGATTGAAAGCCTTGGCCTGAGGCACCATTTGATGCATATCCACCTACCAAAACAAAAGCCAAGCAGAAAAAGAATCACTTGAACTGACAATATGAAGATGACTTTTACAAAAACATTTTCCATCTTTCTCTTCTCTTTGTGGTCCTGCATCATCGTTAGAAACATAAGACAATAGCGAAAATAAATATCAACAAGCTTAACTAAAGTGGCTCAACAAAGAAGCAGAGATAAATAAAGCATAAAAACAGAAAATCACTGTTCCCACAATAACAATGCCACTTTGACATGTAAAAATCCAAAACTACTTATTGATACATACAGAAACTGAAGTCTGGAAACTAGTCACATCAATAAAGAGGAGGTGGTATTACAGTGTAATCTATGAAGTGAGTCCAAACATTATTGGTTCATAGTTTTTACCTAGAAAAAACTAGATGTGGATAACAAAAGATTATAGGAAAAGCTATAGAAAGAACTTCTAGCACAAATGATGCCAGAAAGATATTTGAAACTGGCTGAAATGAGTAAGAGTTCACTTCTAACAATATATATACCAACAGGACGTATGGACACAAAGAAGTGTCAAGAATCCTGGAGAATTCATTCAGCAGAGAGAGGAAGAGGAACAAGCAATGCAAGAAGGTTAATTAACTACCTTGTAATGAATATTGTTGTTGATATCCTGAGGACTTCCTGGGAGTAGCAGCACCAATTCGCATGGGCCTACTTGAACAATAGACACCATTCATTTCAGTCATGGCCTGTGATCTCTCATTATCATCTCCAAACCTCACAAAACCATAACCTTTTGAGCGACCAGTATTGGCATCAAAGACAACTTTTGCAGCTTTAACAGATGGATATTTAGTAGCAAACGTTTCATGCAATAAGCTATCAGTAACATCAGCAGCTAAATCTCCTACAAAAATGGAAAGATCAGGACTGTTATCTGAGCGCTTGTCACCCGTGCTAAATGTTGCCCAGTTCAGGCGGAAAAGCTGGTCTGTATTAGGCATCAGCATGGTAGCATAGCTTTGTAGAACTTTCTCAGCTGTTGCATGGGTAAAAAATTCCACAAATCCATAGCCCTCTGACTGTCCTGTCTGCTTATTGCGAATGACCTTAATGGAGGCAATCTACAAAATATATAACACTACATGTTAGAGAAGAGAAGGCAAGGCACCCAAATAAATAGATAAAAAAATAAAAATGAAGTAGGACTCCTCCATTTGAATATCCAGGTGTAATGAGATTTCAGCTAAATGATACAAACTTCTAACATATAACATCTCCTGAGAGTATTAAAGGTTTACAACAAATAGTTTTCCCAGAAAACATCCCCACAGAACATCTTCCGGGAGATTAAATGAAAAAAAGAGCCTAAGCGGTAATAAAACCTAGAAGTAAAATATAAAAGCCTTAGTTGTATATACTATATACCAATACATGCCCTGCAGCTAGAAACACTATAATACTGAAAGTATTGAACATTATAACTTTATTCTTTCTAGGATGAAATAAACATGGTAACGTCAACAAAGAGCATGGTGGAAGGCTAACTTTTTTTCCAAAAAAAAAAAAAGAAAGGGAAAACTGTAACGACCATCTTGCAGTTTTTTTGTTTTTTTTAATTACCAAGGTATCTGGGCCAGCTTGCGCATATCTCAACTAATCTCTTATGGCCCTGAAGTTAACGACTAGGTAAGTCTCCAGTGACCACCCAAGAGTCCTAGTTGACTGCTCGGCCACTCAGTGGTGGCTCATTTTGCAATTATCACCGTTGCAAAAAAAATAGAAAATGAGCATGGCACATTCCAAAGGGAACCAAAACCTCAATGCTTATTATAAAGTATAGTTAATAGTTTTTAAAGTCCGTACTTCACATTCTGCGTAGCTATGACCAATATATGACCAAACCATTCCATATTTAGAATAAAATTACATCATTAACTCTTAAAAATTGAATTAAATTTTTGAGCATTTCCATAATATTCAACGGACTTACACCCCAAATTTATAAACGATTTCAATCCTATAAAATTTTTCACTAAAAGCTACGAGCCTACGACTTCTTTCACTTTCCCATCTAATATAATAAACTAATCATTACCATGTAAACATCCAAATTTATTAAATTGTTAATAAAAACATTTATAAGAACATGAACAAAACACCAAAAGTACGTTGTATTGACATAGAGATAGAGAGAGAGAGAGAGAGAGAGAGTTTGGACCTCTCCAGTGGAACCAAAACAGGTGTGAAGGTAATTCTCATCCATCCAATGGTGCAAATCACCGACCCAAATAGTCTTGTTTTCACCACTGGATCCCCCTTGATGGTGTTGTTGCTGGTGGTGTTGCAGGTGCGGTTGATGATGATGTTGATACTGGTACGGCATATACGGCGGTGGAGGTATAGGATAATGTTGAGGTGGTATCATTTGCGGCTGCATTACCATGGGAGCAGCCGCATACTGCAAGGCCACCCACTGCTGTTGCTGCTGCTGTTGCTGCCGTGGATTCTGCTGGTCGGCCTGCGATGATTCAGAGCCATTTGGTTGCATCTTATTCATTTATAATTATAAATATAAATATCTTCCTCACTTTGAAAACTTAAAGATTTAATTTATTTGTTATGGATTGTAATTAAATTAAGAAAATAATAATAGAATGAATCTGAATTTTTAGAGAGAGAAAGAGCTGAATCTGAGATCGATTGATTAGGAGAGAGAGAGAAGGGAGGTTAGGGTATAAGGAGAAGGATTTATGTTGAGGATGAAGGATAGGTGTGGTGGGTTTGTAAACGCGGTTGAAGTTAGAGCCAATGGATGGGGAGGTGGGGAGTGATGGTAACCGTTGGATTTAATAGAAACTGAGGATATGCATGTGATACTGTTAAGGTCTATCTCTCCTGGATCCGCCGCCAGCTACCCTCACATTCACTCACCTTACTTTAGCAAATTCTTAGATATTTTCGTTATTTTCATATTTGTTTTAGATTTACTAGGAATAGAATTTCTCTATTGCACCTTATCTTACTCTCGCTAACACCAGTACACCACTACAACCCTGACTCCCATTAATGCCTAAACTTACTGTCACAATCTCTACTTAAATTTGATTTTCCCTTGTTTTAGTCCATTAACTACATTTATCTTGCACTCCGTCTATGAATGTGTTATATGTACTTGTGCCATGTCAAAAAAAAAAAGCCCATTCTGCTTAAGCTGATGAGAAATGTTTCGGCCCAGGACAACACCAACTTACTTCTAATAAAAGTTGGACAATAAAATTGAGATTTGAGACCGACACCCTGATCAAACTTTCACCAAACTGGGAGCCAAGACAAGATCTGATACAATAGCTCCAATACCCGTAGAAGCATTTAACAACAGAAGCTAGTGCTTTGTTACTAAATTCGGCAGGGCTTTATTTACAAGTAGAATTGTTTTATTCTGTTGCAAATACGATTTCTTATTTCGTGCACCTTAACTTTGTTGCCGTCCTGATTTACATATAAACGACATGTCAAGCTTTCTGTAAAACTAAAAATGACCTGTCTCTCACATTGTTAGTAACCAGCAACGTTAGAATCATTCACTACAAGGCCACTCCTCAATCGCACTATTTTTAACAACACCATGAAAGCCTACTTTGGGATTCGTCTAATTTTCATAAAAGACCTTGAATATTTTTGTGTTCATGACAATTTATATAAGGTTTTAAAATAAAGTATTCCTCTATTTTTTTAGGTAATTAGTAATTATATAAAAAATAAAGAATTACAATCTAAGTGGGACGAACCCGAAGAAGCACGACCCTAAACAGGGAAGGGACGCCGCCTAACAAAAGAAAGTAAGGGAGCCAGAATGTACACCCTTTACACAGCCAAAAAAAAGGGGTCAGGGATGGCTAACCAAAGAAAACCTTTACACAGCCAAGAAAACAGCAGTAGCCACAACTCAAGACCCCAAAAAACACCTGAAGCAGGAGCAGAAATCAGCCAGAAAATAGTAGCAAAAAAACCAGCTGGAGGAGAGAATCAGCCACAGCCCCACGCTGCACACCACAGCAGCATCATCCAAGCGAAAACACAACAGCAAAAATGCAGCAAGAACAGCCACCCCCTGCTGGTAAAGTATTCCTCTATTTTTTAATTAAGCAAAACTAAGTATAACGTCTTAGAATTATATAAACAAATTAACTGTAGTACGTCCATTATATATATATATATATATATATATACACACTCTTTGGCAAGTGAAGTTAGACTGTAGTACGTATTAGATTCTTGGCATATACCCTTATATAAAATGAGTAACACTCTGTTGATTAAGCTAATAATTAATGAAGTTTAATCAAAAGATAGTCATGCGATACAATTGATGAGGCAACTGCCACTTTGATATATAGACATACTACATACACATGCAATCGTTGAATATATGATCTGATGGAATTAAGTATTTTAAAATCGAAGGTTTATATTACTCCATTTGGAGCATTTCTATATAAAGAAAATGTGACTTCAGTTGAGAGGTTAGACATAAAATCTATGCTGATGATTCATTCCCATAAAGGGAGTGGTGGTGAACTTAAATAATTCATTTAAGTAGTGGTCGACATTGTTAAATGTGCATAGATTATAATTAACAATTTTTATTTATTTTTAATAATGTCCATATATAGTTTAATTATCATCATCACTCATAGAATAAAGCTAATAATTAGTAAAGAACTATAGTCAAACTTAAAAGCCACACACAAGATTTGACTGATACACTACAAGGGTACGATCCATTCTAAATCTCACTTCCCTAACATGATAATTAAATTTCATGTTATTCGACAATTGAAGGTGCCCCCGTGCGCAAGCTCTAGATTGTGATCATGGAAGCCTCAAACATATCTTCACTCCTCGCATTTGTTAATTACCATATTTTGTTTATTCCAAAGTTGCTTTTCTTGGCAGGAGCACTTTGGATGATAATGGCTATGGTCTCAATTATACACTTGTATTATTAACTCTCTTTATTCCAATTGTCGAAATCTGATGACTAAAATCGATTTTATTAAGAAAAATGTTAACCTTACAAAGATGCAAACAAAAATGAGCATACAAAGACAAATCCTACCCTTAAAAAAAGGGAGAAAGAGAGAGACAATCATAAAAATTAAAGACAGAATTTGTCTTTGTATGTCCCTTTTTGTATACATCTTTGTAAGGCTAGCATTTCTCTTTTATTAATACTTCGCCACGCCATAATTTTAATTAATTTGATGGATTTCATAGGATATGTCTCAGGTTTAATTGCTTAGTGATAGAGTTTATATGCATCTAGAAATCAATTTCCAAGAGTTGAGGGGAAATATTCCTTTTAAAAATTTCGGTAGTGACAATAACAATACAATCCCAACATTTGAGGAAAAAAATATCAACTTGTCAAGATTCCTACTTTATGTTCTGCAATTTGAGTTGTCAACCAAAGTCAACAGAACTTTGAAAGGGATGGACTATGGTTGCCAATTTAGTTCATAAAGTCTCAGCAGACCTGAAAACAACTCTTTAGAAGTTGCATAATTCACAATGTTATATAATAAGTAATATATAATTAAGACAAAATTTCACGAATTATATCCAATCAACTATTGCCATAGATAATTGATGGGTATATTTTAAATTTGTATTTCAGATTTACATATAATTTTTTTTATAAATCTAATAATATAACAAAGTAGGTAAATCTAAATTTTTTTTATGAATTATTAATAAAACAACATATTAATCATAGTAATAAAGTAGCTCACAAATACACATTTCTTAAAGTATAATAAGAGAGAAAATTTATGGTACTATAGTTGTATAATTGATGTATGTATATCATATAAGTATTAAAATATTTGAACTTGTGATATGAATGATGCAATACTCGTATAATATTTTAGATCTATTCATAAGTTGTGAGCATTTTTAATCAGTTTAACACAGATCCGGAATTAAATTTCAGGAAGAGAACTCAGAATTCTGAACTTTGAGTTCAGTATATACGCTAATCAAGCTGTCTTTATTGATGAATTTTACAAATACATGGAAGGAAACGACAGAAATAACAGGACGGTACATAGACTACAGAAATTGAAAGCATACCCAAATATTGAACACTAATATCATTTATTTGATGATGGAAATTTTGCGATAATTAAGAATTAATTATGCGTCTTTAATTTAGTTTGGACCTTCAGCGCCGGGCCCATGAGAGTGACCAGCACCAGGACTGTGGCCTGGTTCCGTGGGACGGTAGTCGTCCGTTCTGTCTGCTGAAACACGGTGTTCTGCTGCTATCGAGGGACAAGGAGGACTGTCACCCACTGAGCGGGTTGCCTTTGCCTCATGTTCTAAAATGCAGCGGCTTGAGTTGATAATATTATCATTCACACCCTGATTCTCAATGTTTCTCTCTATTTCCTTAAAAATCACCCTCCCCTCGATGGACATGATTCCATATGAACAAGTGATCAATACAAAGAGAAGGGCACTGATGAAAATCATGTTAAAATTTGTAGCCATAATGAGAGATTATGGGGGAATAGTAGCTCTAGTGATTCTGAAGCTAACGAGGGAAGAAGAGATGGGTAGGTATGGCTGAACTCGGTTGTCACCTTGGGTATTTATAGAGTTCCAGTAGTCAGTGATGGTAGAATTTCCTAGAAATATTAATTCAAAATAAAATGCACTGAAAATGCAAATAGGTTATATAATGATTATGTTTCCTCTTATTTTCTCTGTTTTAGTGACTCAAGTGTCTGATCAGTAGTATATTCTTTTATGGCGTGAGGGATCTATTATTTTCTTCATTTTACTTTTGCATGCCCCATGCAACTATTCTCTCTATTTATGTCTCTTAATTTTCGGAATATTGATATAAACTTACACGTATTTGTTGAATGAGACTTTTCTGGTGCAAATCCAAACACATTAATTTGACTTAATGTTCGGTCCTTAAAGGTTGATCATCTGCTCGAAAAACTATTTGGAAAAGCTGCAGGTGATCCTGAATCTACACTTACTTGAAAGATCATTCCCTTTCAAAGTCTTGTATCATGCATTATACCAGCACCTCTTACTTTTTTCAATATTGAAGTTGAGAGTGTCGGCTGACTGAAAATTAAATTAGCAGGTTCAATAAGAAACTAAAACATGGAAATCCTAATCACAGCTCAATTAAAGTCTTGTTAATTGTTAAGTAAATTTTCTGAATCTCGTTGTCTCTAATGATACACGTAGAATCAGACACGTACTCACATAGAGATTTGAACCCACTCAACTTTTAAAAAGTATTATGTTTTATAGATTTTACAATTTCAATCCTAATTAACTTCATGTTGACTCCACAAAATAAATTATTAAGAAACATTTTTTTAATTTTTCTCTTCTCTTCGTTTCCTCACATTTTCTTTCAAATTATATTTTTTCTTTTGGTTGGATATTCAAGAAAGACAACTTTTTTTTTTATTACAAGGCAAAATGATGCTCATTTTATTTTTATTTTTTTTACTTAAAATTCTTTTCTTTTATCTTTCTTAATTGATGAAAGATCATAAGCCATAAGTTTTTGTTGAGTTTAATAAATGAGTTTGAAATTGGAAGATTAAATTACTATATTTTGATGTAGGTTTTGATTTAATCTTGTTCATGTTGAGGTATGAATTAATTAGTTATTTTCAAGTTGGGTTTAATAAATTTTGGTTAGTTATTGAGTTAATTTTGAATGGTTTAAAGAATTGATGAAACCCTAAGTTGTAAAGATTTAGGGATTATACAACGTTTTTAGAATATAAAAAATCGTTGAGAACAATTGTAGAATTAATAATT